TAGGGAATAAGATTTCATTCAAAGTTACATTGTTTCTGAATTAAAAAAAAATATACGCTCATTTCTGACTTGTAGATATATATATATATATATATATATATATATATATATGTACCAGATACCGGTATGTATTTTAGGTTAATATGGCATAGATTCAAGCAGATGTTTTTGGATTGAACCCACTTCAGTATCTACACTTGTTATTTTCACAAGTTAAATGTCGCAACTCTAATGCTAGACTAACTGAAGTGTTACTCAATTTTTAATTTATTTCAAATATTATAAAAGATTATTCTGGAAAAAAGCAGTAATGATTGAAAGAACAGCTTGAAATTCAGCGGACTAGCTCCATCAATGGTGTACTCTTAAATGTTTGTGTATTTCTTCGGATATAAACTTATATGAAAATAAATCGTCAACAGCTTTTGTGACAGTGAACAAGATGACAATTGTTAACAGCTTACGATGTTATCATTCATCATTAACTGAAAATAGTTCAGAGATTTGAATTTAAACAGTTACTATGGAAACAAAGCATCTATTGCTGATAAATGGGAAATTTCATGAGAAAAATATATGAAGCCAATCATGAAAATGTATGTATATGTTTTTTTGGTGGGGGATATATTTTTAGATTTAAAATTTGTTAAAAAAAGGATATTGTTTATATTTCTTTATATGATTTATCCAACTTGCGAAATTTGCATTAGCTACTGATATTTTTTTTTTGTTTTTTTTTGTTTTACAAATACTTATTAAGTTATTTTAATAATGATTACAAGAAAAGGTTTATATAAAATATTTGCTTTAATTAAAAAAGAAAAACCAGGCATATTTTAGTGAATAAAACAGGTTAATTTCAGTTCCTCTGTTCAGTTGGTCACAAATCCCCTAATAACATGTTAGGAAAAATGAAATGGGGTTTAACATCCTATGTTTCTGCACTGACTGGGCTATTGAAGATCAACATACACGATACATTTCACGACTGCTATGAGGGAAATTTTGTCCGAACAGCTGAGCTGCGGCCAACTCTTATATCGAATTTGAACTGTCAAGTGTTCTTTTATGTGCCTCATGGTTGGTGGGACACCATGGCTCCCTTCATGCTATTTAAGGGTGTGGATAACAATGTGTATAGACTTGTCTACGATATCACCTCGGTGGAAGCGGACTTTAAATAAAGCTATTTCACACACAATGTGTATAGTGGTTAATGGTCTCAAGTCACTCATAAGATTTAAGAATGAAAAACCTTAAATTTTAAATACAAATTTTCAATTTAATAAGCCTTAAATTACTCCAGAGGTAAATCTGCCTATTGCAGGTCTTTCTTTAGGCCTGAAATTCTGAAATGTTACATAAATTATTACTTAGACATTTATTAACAAGACAAGACCATGATAAACTCTCTAGGTCATCGAATAGCTCCAATTGTAAGTAGATAAAAAGGGTTCAGCCATTTAATGATTTAATTTAAAAATGGAAAAACAAGGCTGAATCTGGAACAAATGAGTTACATTACCGTGTTAAGCAAATCTAGCAATAATTTCCAAACGGAAATTTGGAACTTCTCCTTTATAAATGCACTAGATGCATGTTTCAAATTTGAAAGTTTAATAATAAGGTTATTAATTACATGATGAAGAAACAGGAAATTACAAGTACACTCCTTGAAATTCATGGAACTTTTTTTTTAAGGGGTATATGCACTAAGTCACTCTGGCTAGTATATTTGACAGCTTCAGCTACATGTACTTTGGAATTTCAGGTGTGGAAGGACCTAAACTTCCAGTACATAAGAGACTCCTCACATTACCATTATTGGCACAAAAGAAGAGTCAATCATTTTGCCATTTTTTAATGCCAGTTTCAGGACTTAATATCTTGAATATTTTGAATAAGCTTAATTCATAGAAACCAACCAAAGTGTGTGTGGTGAACTGTATTATTTCTGTGTTGTACGGCACCCCAGTTTTTGTGCAGATAATTGATCTTTTTATATGACACTACCCCAAATAAGTATCATCCGGGGTTTATGGACCTGCTTATGGTCCAACCTTCGACGATGGGTTGTATGTTCAATCTATTTGGGGGTGTACGATTGAACATACAATAATTCAATAACTCACTTCTCTTAGTGTAATCTTATATTCTGTAACAATGATAATATATATATATAATACTGACCCACAGGCTAAGTAACTTAATAAGGAACAGCATCTAAGAAATAACTTATCAGAGACCTGCCCTTCAGTCTGTCCCTTGCCTGCCTGTGGGGTTCTACTTATGATCTACAATCTTTCCTCTAATATACTAGAGGTTACTTGGTAACAATAAACAATACATAGTAATTATATATATTTAAACTTAAGAATATTTTATAGTTGTTAATGGGTAGTATTTAAGTGACATCCATTCATTCATTTACTAAGTTGACTAATGTTTATAGATGGATTATCTCATTACTACTATTGTCTTTAATCTCGATCATAGCTGACCATTGATAACTTACTATAGATAATCCATCTTGGGAGCCAAGTTGTGGTGTAAGTCTAGCCCTGTATTGGGTGAATGGCTGTATTAAATACTACCTGGTCATATAAGGATAAACCCTGCCCAAGTTGGGAGCCGAGCAGTGGCTCAATGAATATGGCTTTAGTAATGCTGGTCTTGGTCCAGAAAGTTCCTTGAGGATTTTCCAGCCTATTTTCTCCTTGCCGGTCATGGAGGACAGAATGGGCCTGGTAGGGCAAAATTGTCTAGTCATTTGGATGGTTCAAAAAACTGAGATTTCCCCCATTTGTTGTGAACCATTGACAGTTGGAATTCAATAAAGAATAGGTGGAAATGTCGCTGTCCAGGCAAAATTTGCCTCTTTGTATACTACATGTCATTATTAGCTCAATTACTAATTGAAAAGTAGCACTTTAAATAGTTTAAACCTCATCTCATTTCATTTCATAGGAGCCTGGAGGTTGGGTGTTAGATCCCTGCATTGGCCGAGAAAGTTCAACCAGATTTTCCGGCGTGGTTCCCCCTTGTCACTGATGCAGGACGGAGGACCGGACAAGGACAGTTGTCTAGTCCTTCGGATGAGATGAAAAACCGAGGTCCCATGTATACATTGGAATGCACGTAAAAGATCCCTTGGCAGTTGGAATTCGATATAAGAGTAGGCGATAGTGCCGCTGCCCGGGCAAAATTTCCCTCATAGCACACTGTATGGCATACGCACATCTTCATTAGCCCAGTATAGGAGCAGAACAGTAGGACGTTAAACCCATTTCATTTCATTTCATTTCATTTCATAGGAAAGTTTAACGAGGTTCTATCCTACCTGTTGGTGGGCTATTCATTCCTTCAACAACCTATATGGGTTTTTTATTTTTGTCGGCTAACACATTTAATGAAACAAATTTTTCTGCTGGTCAAAAAACTCATTTCTACTTAATATTTGGTTTATATGGACTTACTTAATTACGTATACACCGCACTGCTTAACATGTGCATGGATTTTGTAAAGTAGAAAATGAGAAAATCAGCTGGGTTCATGTGGTAGGGAGGCAGTGCATTAAATTATACAGCTGTTCTCAACAATATTTTTACATCACCCAATATCATAAACATCTGAACTTAAAGAATTGTACATGATACATTCATATCAACACATTTAAATTGACAAAAAGCAGCGCTGCAAAACATAAATGAGATTCCCTGAAGACCAGGGCCAGAACTTTGTTTTCAGACTCTCAATGCCAACAATTAAGCTAGGTCTGAGAATTGTTAAAGTAATAGGGATCAGTACAGGTTAATGATACCTATTAGAGATTATATTTTCACAATATTGTAGTTTGCACTGGATTCTATAGAGTCTTTATTAGTGCAGTAAAACTTGTAACAAACAGTATGTTAAAATTGTACATAACACTATACATAATACAATCATTGTTAAATTGTACATAAAACTATACAGTATACAATCATTGTTTAATTGTACATAACTCTATACAGTATATATAATAATACAATCCATGTCAAATTAAAGGTGTCTTGTCACCCATTTTCGACCTCATACCTAAGTGTTTCCTAACCTTTGTATGCACAACCAAGAAGTTGTTTATTATTTTAGAACTAACTAAAATTATTAAAACCTTCATGAAGATATCTTTAATGGTTTATGATTTTTGCTCTGGAAACAATTTGCCAGATTTTAAGGATGGACAGAGCTTATTTCAACATCCTTCCCTCAAAGAGGCATTATGCCGATCTAATTCTGCCCATTGCAGGTCTTTTTTCTGTCACAAAATGTTTTATATAAATTATTATTTAGCCATTTATTCACATGGCAAGCCCATAATCAACTCTTTAGACACCCAGATGGTGTAGATATTGAGTGGATTAGATTGGCCGCCATATCAATCGGAAAACTTCAGAGACAATTTAGCCTAGTGCTTGTCAAAACATCAAACATCGTTCAGAATAAGTAAATTGACTGGAATTTTCAATATATTTATTTTTCGTTATTTATTTTTGAACTATTATTGCAAGGACGGTGAGCTCTTCATCTAAGTCTTACATAATGCATCTTTATCTTTGTTCAGACGATAAAGAAAATATAAATATATTGCATTAAGTTACAAAGTATTTCTGTCTGTTTGACATTATTTAACTGTTCCTGTAACTTATATCGTTATTGTTTATTCACCATGCTAGCATTGGCTGGTTTTGATTCAACCAAACGATCAATACTCTTAATTTGATCATAAATATAAATGTCTTCTTGATCTACACTCCATTTAGAAACAATTCTTGTCTTGTTAATCAAAGATATAGACAACTATATTTTGAAAATAATGCCAATTAAAATTGAATGAAGTTTGTGGTAGATATTGGATATTGTAACCGATTTTTGGATATTTAGAAATGTGCTACATGTATAATAGATACTGGTAAATAAAAGAAGTAATTGTAATGAGATTTTTATTCAATATTTTCAGCCTCAAGAACAACACCGCCAGCAGACACATCAGTATGATGAAAGACTGGAATATGTTGCAAAACGTCGACCCACCCTATTGCCAGATTACCATCATCATCAAGCTGAACGGTACTTTTTTTATTTTTTACAGTCTATTTATGTCGCCAGTCTCGATTGTGCAGTTTTTCAGACAATATCAGATTTTTCACGTCTTAATTCACACTAAAATATAGTCAAACTGGTGACATAACATTTAAAATAGAAAAAAACTAAACAATATCTGATGCAGATTGAATTGTCAATTTGGAAATTTTCATGAATTTATATGCCTGAAACAATTTGGAAATTTTTTGTACTGTATAAAATTTACTATTAAATGGTACATTACGTAAGGTTATGTAAGGTAACTGAACTTATCTAAAGCCATTTTCTGTTGAAGGCCTGCTCTTTTATATGGCAGCTGTATATGAAAGAGTTAAGAGGATGTTTAACCTGCACTTTGTTAAATGTACTGCATTATGCATGTCCTGTTCTTTTAGACAAGTTACAAAAACATACTGCTATAATTACACTATGGAACAGCAAGTTAAGCATATAAATAAAAACGACCTAGCATGCACAGCTCAAACACTTGACTATCCTAGACTGTTGATGTAGCCATAGAGCACACAATCTTCGGTGCAATTTCTTAGTGCAATGCATGTTCTTTACGAATTCAAGTAATTTCCTCAACTTTTTCCAGCCCTATTCACAGTATATTAAGTGTATTAATATAGCCATGTTGTTTTCCTGTAGGAATTTTTAAAAGAGTGTTTTTTATAAATGAATTTGTTGATATTAGGCTTGTTTTATTGCCATATGCTGCGATTAATCTTAGTGCATATGGAAGTTCCTGTAGACAATTTACATTAATAATAATATTATAGAATAATACCCACTGTTTCTTCGGACATGCTGACATTTTACTTCTACAAGAAGTAGGGCAAATATTAGGTACGAGTGTATTAAGAAGACTCAATTATTGTTTTCTCATGTGATAAATATTTAGAAATAAAAAAAGACAGAGTACTACTTTGTCTGCCACAAGATATTTATTTTCATCTGTAGTCTGTATAATATACTCTGGACCAAGCTTTATGTAAATATGACTGATGATATAAGTCTGTATACCAAGACCTAGTTTTATGTAAATATGACTGATGATTAGTCTGTACACCTGGACCTAATTTTATTTAAAAATGACTTATGATTAGTCTGTATACCTGGACATTAAGCTTTATGTAAATAGGACTGATGATCATGTTGTAAGTGTAGGATAAAGCAGGAGACAGAGGTTATGCCGGGGAAAGAAAGACTGAAGAAAATAACCTGAGAAATAGCCAAACTTAGGCCAACAAGCCACGGTTTTTATTTCGAGGGTTTTTTCTGAAGTCTTTCTTCCCCAGCATAACGAAGTCAAGGACTTTATCTTGTGTATAGACCGTCTATGTTTACATGTTCGTAAAATGAGAATATCCCAGGTTTAAAGAAAAACTTTCAGAAGAATAACCCCAAATTCCTGTGTATATATTCAAAGCCGCCCCGACTTTCAGGCAGAAAGTTTTTCCGGGCCTAGAATATACCCCAAAGATCAAAGAGATTTATCATTATACATGTAGGTTTATAAGTAGAGCTAAAATAATGACTAAGTGTATTTTATCAGTCAAATATTAATTTTCTAAACAATATTAATAAAAACCATGGAACTTCTATCAATCATTTCTACGTTGCCTATGCTGTTGAGACTAAAGTAAACTCTTATAAATTAAAAATACAGTATATTGTTGTGAGTAGAATTTTGTATAGTCCTGATAGTTTTACTGTTGAATAGTTTGAAGAAGAGTAAAATGAAGGGGCTTCAATCCAAAATAATGAAAATTTTAAACCGTGCTATAAAAACATACTGCAAACTTTAAAGATTATCTGGGATGTTAAAACCCCATCTCATCTCACCTCATTTATAACTATTTGAAGCTTACATTAGATTCCATTCATTTGTGATTTTGTTCATAACAATGAAAAAAAAAATGTCTTCTGTTTTCCAGATCCGAGGCATATCCTCAATATAGTCAAGACATGGCAGCTGTTATCCCAACCAGAATAACAACGGGAGGAGGGGGTGATATGGGTCCTCAAGTTGCTAAGCGACCACGTCTGATAAATCGACCTGACCTTCTTCAACCATTACATGTAGATACCCAAATAGAGGTCAAAAGGGTAGGTTATTGTTTCACACAGTCGTGAAAAAAACAATTCAATCTGAAATTTTTAACCAATCAAAATATTGTCGGAAGAGAAAAGTGAAATTTTGTTATATCGTCAAAGATAGGGTTTCAGAATTTAAAAATCAAACAATGACCAGTTGAACTGTGCGAGAGAAAAAAAAAACAAGTCTGGCGTCCACAATTGCTTGTGGATGCTCTACAGGCTAAAGTTCATATTCAATTGACTTTAAATTTATACATAGTGTTTAAGGTCACGAGACAAAAAATCCTATTGATATTCAGCGATTTCCGATAATTACTACCACAGTTATGACCCTTGATCACTCTTGTAGAAGCTCTAGAGGCTAAGTAAATATCCGATAAATTATAAATTTATACACACATAGTTTTAGGTCATGAGACGAAGAATCCTATAGATTTTCAACTATTTCTGATAATTTCTGCAGGAGTTATTGCCCTTCACCTCTTTGAAAAATCGTGTAGCAGCTCTAGGGGCTAAGTTAATATCTGATTAATTTTAAATTTATACACACACAGTGTTTAACCTCATGAGACGAAAAATCCTATTCATTTTCAATGATTTTGGACAATTACTTTGATAAATCTTGTTCACACTCTAGAGGCTAAAGTTAATATAAATTGTTTAAGATCATAAGACAAACCATCGAAACAAATTCTAATGATTTCTGATAATTACTTCATGGGTTATTACTCGTAATTAGATTTTTGTGTGTTGTAAATGTTCTCATTACTGACAAAGGAAAAAATATGCCACAACCCTTGTTGACTACCCAGGTGACTTAGCTGCTGTGGGTGTATTTTTCGTTGCCTGGTAACCTGGGTTTTTTTCAAACTGTGCATCCAAAGATTTTTTAGGAAAAGTTTTGTAATTTTTATTATATATTTTTATAGGAGCCAGCATATAATCCACAAGTAGAAGCTATTTCACCAACTGATGAACCTGTAGGTAAATCACAGAAAGAGAAAGAAGAGATTATTGCACAGATTACTATATTAGATCAGGAGATTAATCAAGTTGAATCCAAGATTAAAAATCTACAAAAGAAACAGGTGGGAACTCTTTCTTTCATCAAAACTCAAATGGACAGTTGTAAAAACAAAAACAGTTTTGATAATGATTCAGGATAAGACCAATGACCATGTAGGATTTTGAATTTGAGACATTATTCTCAGTGTTATTGCCCTTGAATTAAAAAAGATATCTGTACATAAAAAATAAAGAATTCAGTATTCCAGGGAGGTTAGGTGGCCAAATGGTGGAACGTTTTCGTTTGAATCAAGTATTGTGGCTTGTACGTGAAAGGGGGATTGGATGGTCGAATGGTTAGCATGTGCGCGCTGTATCATAAGGTCTGTCATTGAGTCAACTGGTGTGGTTTCAATTCCCCGGTTGTACGTGGCAAGGAGTAGGGTTGTCTGTTCAACCTTGTGGGTTTTCTCCGGTGCTCCAGTTTCCTCCCACTGCTAGAGACCCCTACATGCAAGCGAAGTATTGAAATAAAATTGGACCATATGTTAGTCGCGAAATGACCTAGTTTGTGTCCAGTGGATGTTAAACCCCATTTCTCTCTCTCTCTTGGTACGTGGCAGAGTAGTGTCACCTGTTTAACCTCATGGTGTTCTTCGGGTTCTCCACTTTCTTGCCTTTTGTCTGTAGACATTAGCCCCATACATGCTATTATTTCGTAATTCTGTTTATATTATAGGATCAATTAGAGAAAGATACAGCCAAACCTCAAGAAGAAAAGAGAGTATCACCTGAATTAAATCAAACAGAACCTAAACATCAGAGTATAGCACAGATTATTTATGCTGAAAATAGGGTAAGCAAAGCTCAATATAAACTATGAGAGCTATATCTTTAGTCTAACCCCCCACGCATTTTATTTCTAATAATATCTAATTAGGTACGGTATTTTGACATTTGGATGTGCAACTCTCACAGGGAAAGAAAATTATAATGGTCTGACAGAATCAAAAGGGTTAAAACCCTTTCTGGCATCAACAAATAGAGTTCCGAATTTGAAATGCACACATTTGATCATTTTATGTTTTAACTTCAGAGGAAAGCAGAAGAGGCTCATAAGATGTTAAGCAAATTGGGACCCAAAATAGATTTAGTAAGTTGAATTTTAATTTTGAGCATTCATTGTATATGATAGCAAGTCCTTCTTACTTCTCTGTTAACAGAATATGGAGTATCCTAAACTGTCTTTGTGTTGGTTTAATGCATTAGGTATTCCCGTAACCACATACAAAATAATTGATGTGGATTCAGATCATTCATAATTTTAGCGTAAATAAAATCAGCAATTCTGTAATGTATTGTAATGTAAAACTAAGGCCAAGCCAAATTGATTTTTAGTTGTTTAGGGTTTTGATAGCCATTTATATCCTGTGAACAATTTTTCGGGTTTAAAATTTCAAAGCTTAAAAGGTTGTAACTGAAGGCTTTTGAGTTGAGCAAACAAGTAAGTCGCCAAATCTCAATAGCTGTTCATAACAAAAGTTCCGATTGTTGTGGCATAAACTTGAATTCGTTAAAGGTATGTTGTTTTGTATTTCAGCCATTGTATCATCAACCTTCAGATACAGCTATATATCAGGAAAATAAACAAAAGTAAGTTTTTAATATATTATATATAATATCAGATATCTGATTATAACCAATCTGATAGTTTTTCAGGATTTTCAAATCTGTTTTTCTATACACATCTATTCACACAAGCCATTAACTTTACTACATATGACAGGTTTTTAAAGATAAATACTATGTATTCTACTTGATTTTTAGGTTTCAAGTTTTTAAGAAGAGACTTATCTTACATCTGAAGAAACGGCATCAGGCTAGAAGAATTAGGGTATGTCATACAATAGTACAAATATACTGTTTGTATAGACCCACATTACATGTTGGGTTGTTTTCAAACTCCTTGGGATTGTTTGGTTGGCTGTAAGAATCGGGGGGGGGGGGGGGAGGGGATGGCCGAATGGTTAGCCGCTGTATCATAAGGCCTGTCACTTGAGTCAACTGGCGTGGTTTCGAATCCCTGGTTGTATGTGACAAGGAGTAGGGTCGCCTGTCCAACCTCATGGGTTTTCTCGGGGTCCTCCGGTTTCCTCCCACTGCTAAAGACCCCTACGTGCATTATTGAAATTAAAAAAAAAATTAAAGCATATGTTAGTCCTGGAATGACCTAGTTTGTGTCGAGTGGAAGTTAAACCCCATTTCTCTCTCTCTCTCTCTCCATAAGAATCAAGAAGAACTCCGGCCATCGCATTGATTTTACACATAGTTATTGCTCCTGTTATCAAACTTTTGTATAAACCCTATACAAGATGTCAAAGTTTAGGATCAATTTTTATCCACAGTTACTGCCCTTTTTTTAGAAAGCTTGCAAACACTCTATCTTTCATACTAATCATAAGGATTAACCTAGTCGAAATTAAGAGTCTTGGACTGATTTTGAGGGTTTTTTCTTTTGTTATTGTTATTTTACATTATTTTAATCTTCAGGAGAAATACTTGACTGAACGCTACGACCAACTCATGCAGACATGGCTGAAGAAAATGGAAAGACTTGAAAATAATAAAAATAGAAAGTAAGATTCTGTGTTTTAATTAAGTTTTGAGTTCATTTGTATAATAATCAAGATAATTAAATATTATTTTTTTCGTTCAATTATATTAAAAACAAGTATGGAGCTACTGTAGACCAGGAACCGAGTATGATGTCATCTCTGCCATCTTGGAATTGTGACATCATATCAAAAATTAAAGTCCACCAATCCATGCACAATTGCCCAAGGAACAATAACGCCATCTTTCTTGTTGATCGTACTTCAATTGCCAGATCCCTAGGCTGTTTTGGAAGAGAGTTGCCCCCCTGATAAGAACAACAAGATAAGTAGCACTTGGGGACCAGGGACCTTATTCCCGAAAACTTAAACTAAAATATTTTAAAAATGCAGCCGCTTCATTGGTGGAGATTAAAAATCCTAGTACAAACTTTAGCTCTTGGCCAATGAAAGGGCTGAATTCTTAAAATACTTTAATTGAAGTTTTTGTGAATATGGTCCCCATTCCTGGTCTAAAAAAATCAACATGGTTTTAATCTACACGTCTTAAAGTGTTATTCTATTAAATTAATTGATTACCTACTAACTTATGGTTCTGCCAATATTTATGGAATTAATAATTATGCATACTTTAATTATTTTATAGAACCAAAGAAGCCAAATCTCGGGAATTTTATGAGAAGTTATTTCCAGAAATTAAAAAAGCAAGAGAAGATCGAGAACGGTTTCAAAGGTATTACTTTATAGTTAAGCTCATCTACTCATTTATAAACTGTATATTATTTTTGACTAAACAGAATTATTTCTTTAAATTTAGAGGGTTGGTGGTATGGCACTGGCATTAAAAAGAACCATCAGGGTTTTTAATGTCTAGTTTTCACTTGTCATGGGTACGACTGCAAAGAATTGTGCCTACTGAAAAACCACTCTCATCTACTCAAACATGCTAAAAAAAAAAAATATTTCTCCCTCACATTGAAATTAAATTCAACATATGTTAGTTTCAAACTGACCAAATTATTTTGTTGACAAGACGTTATACCCCATTCCATTCTATCAAATTTATTTCTCTATTTGTCTTCCTGATAAAATCCAGAATATTAGATCTCTAGAAGTATCCATATTTGAGATGTATTGTGCAATATATTTTGTAAATAAAGAAAAAAGTATCTATAAATTTTGTATTTGTTTATTAATATTTTAGTCGAGTGGGTACAAGAGGCAGTATAGCAGGTTATGCTAGAAGTGATGCTGAATTAGAGCAGATAGTAGATGGTCTTAATGAACAGGAGGTATGGTCCTTTAATTATTTCGATTTATTTTTAATACACACCATCTATGATGTCTACTGAAACAATGTGGGTCATCACCAGGGCTGTCAGTAATTTTTCACAGTTGATTAGCAGGTCTACTAATCAAAAAGTCCAATTTTGACAAATTTGATTAGCATATTTAAAAATTGATTAGCAGTTTTTCAGCTTCAACATAAAACACCTAAATAACAAGATATTACTTTAATTCTTAACAAATGATTAGATTTCATTCTTAGATGTTTTTAGCACTGCCACATGTAGTTATGACAGTTTGTGAATGTGATGTAGACTTTTAGTTAGGTCTTATGTCTGAAGCCAATTCTTGGAAGTGACTTCCGAAGCCCCACTCATTTTAATTGTTATTTCTTCATTACATTAGAAACCTTCGTTAGAAAACAATTTCGTCTGCATTTTGTCATGTATTACTATCTTTGTTCAATCGGGCATACCTCGATTAACTAGATACGCGCAATATAAACAATAGTATTTTTGGTAATTCTTACTTAGATTTATCATTTTACAATATGTTAACATTTATTTATTTTATTTACAATACATGTGGGATACACTGGATTTATTTCTTTCAAAAATGAATATTGATATAATTACTTGAAATTGACATGTCTCGTAACGTGAGTGGTACTAATCGATTCACTATTTCTGGTTTAATAGTCCCTATTCATAGAGTTATGTCCCTGTATTAGATAGTATAATGAATTGTGTCTTGTTAGTTCGAGAAGAAAATGTCACACAGAGAATTCAGTTTTGTTATAAAATTTTGTTCGACTTTTTATACACGCTGTCTTCAAAATGTGGATAATCTTTGTGCCGATATCCAAAATGACAGGCATATTGATGATTCGCTGTTACTGCGAATCAAAAACATTAGATTTTAATTTTTGATTAGCAACAAACAAAATATGTATCGCAAATTGCGCTGCAATACTGGTAGTCAGCAGCCCTGGTCATCTCTGGATCACAGTTCAGACCTACAATATTATTTCAGGTTGTTGGTTCTATACTGACAGGCATATCCTTCAGGCATTATCCCTGGTTATAAATTGGGAGTCACAGATCAGGCCTTAGAAATCAAACAAGTTACATTTATTTAAAATGCATTATGCAAAAGCTAAATCTGTCTATTGCAGGTTTTTCTTTAGGCCTGAAATGTGATATAAATTATTAATTAGACAATAATTAACTTACCAAGACTATAATCAACTCTCAATGCCATCGGATGGCTCTGATATTTAATAGATTTGAATACGTTTTGTGGTTGATGAAATAACCATAAAAATGGATAATCTAGACTCTGTTTATTAGCGTAACAATAGTAGTAATAACAATCGAGGATAGACCTAAGTTGTATTGCTGATAACTTGGCTCAGATTGAAGTCCTTTGAATGAAATGTTTAACATATTCCCTTTTCATTATCTATTTTTTAACTATTATAGCAAGGACTGTCTGCTCTTTGAGCTATAATACATTCATGAATATGAACATTAAATTTAGAAATGATTTGTCATTTTTAGGAAGAAGAGAAGAAGATGAGAAGTTTTTCTGTAATTCCACCGATGATGTTAGACGCTCAACAACGTAAGATGAAGTTCATCAACAATAACGGGTTGATGGAAGATCCAATGGCAGAATATAAAGAAAGTCAAGCTTTAATCAAATGGACTGAACAAGAAAAACAAATCTTTAAAGAAAAATATCTTCAACATCCTAAAAACTTTGTTCATATTTCAACATTTTTACAGAAAAAGGTATGGTTTAATCTTGTCTTTGATATAATTGGGTTGATGTCGGAGAAATGGGAACCTGCATTTTATTGAATCATGGCTACCTACATTTAGAATCCCCGGTTGTATGTGGCAAGGAGTAGGGTCGCCTGTCTAACCTCGTGGGTTTTCTCAGGGTCCTCCGGTTTCCTCCCACTGCTAAAGACCCCTACACGCAAACAAATTATTGAAATAAAATTAAAAACCATATGTTAGTCCCGAAATGACCTAGTTTGTGCCGAGTGGACGTTAAACCCCATTTCTCTCTCTCTCTCTCTCACCTACATTTAGTGTCTCAAAGTTCAGTAAAAGTAAAATCCTCAGAAAGGTAAGCAAGATTTTTAATTGTTTTAACAAAAAAAAATATTATTTTTTTAGAGTGTACCTGAAGTTATACAGTTTTATTATCAAAGTAAGAAGAAAGAAAATTATAAACAGTTACTAAGGAAACAAAACATGAAGAAAAGAAGACCATTTAAGGTAACTATATCTGAAGGAAAAAAAAAACATTGTGCCATGAAAGTGTTATGGAAAATTTGAAAATTAATATGTTTTATTATTAAAAACACCATATTCATAATAAAGTTCAACAAGACTACAATTATCAACCTAACTTATCAGTTAAAGATAATTATTATTTGTGATGGATATTGATCATGAAATTGCTTGTGAAATTGAAAATTTCTTTCAAAATAGCATTAAGCTGAGGCTAAGTATTGTGCCTAAATTCTATTACATTCATATTCATATATGGGAGATAATCAAATTCAGGGGGAAATAACTCATCAGAAACCACTCTTAGTTTGTCTATAAATACTAAAAGGTTTCAGATTTATCATTTTACAAGCATCTGGGATATTGATGAGATAGATAAAGAGTATAAAAAGTTGGCACATCTTCTCATGTAATTGTTGGTTTGTTTTATCTTAGCCCCAACCCGTTGTACCTAAAGAGGAACCAAAAGAAGAACCTAAACCAGAAGTAATAGAAGAACCCGCTAAAGAAAGGTAATTGTAGTATCTGTATGCTCATTGACTTTTATCTCCCAAATCTTAGGACATCAGTTAATATCTGATCTATCAACACGGAATGAAAATAGAGTCTAAATATCTGGTTATCGTATTACAGTGCTAGTACATCTAGTACTATAAATATTTGGTTTTCTTAATTACAAGTACTACTAGTAGTACTACAATACATATTTGGTTTTATTACAGTACTAGCACAGCTAGTACTACAATAAATATTTGGTTTTATTACAGTACTAGTACAGCTAGTACTACAATAAAGAAAGAAGATGAAGTAAAAGATGTAGAAGATGAATCATCAGATGAAGATGGGAACACCACACATCAAACAGAGGCTGATGGTACATAACTTATGCCCAATTCCGTATAACTGTATAAAATATGTTTATACATTAGATTAAATGGATTCGTTTATCATGACATTCAGATGGGAAAGGATTAAGAAAATCTACAATACTTATCATTTTAAACATTTTCTACTCTTTGTAATTTATTAACCCACAGATACTGGTAAATAATTACATAGGTCCCTTGACTGAGTGGAACTGATGCATACATCCTTAGTAGTTGGAATTCAGTTACCCAAATTGTAGCCCCTGTGTTTGTCCTAAAGTGACCCACTAGTTTTAGCATTTCTTTATTGTTAAAAACTTGAAGCCTCTGATCATCATGAATGATGTTTATTAATCAATATGAATAAATTTTAGCATGGATTAAGCCATGAGCAAAATGTTAGATATTGTCTGAAAAGTTCAAGATCGAGACCGGCATCTTTAAAATGTGGAAATAATTTTTAACTTCATGCTGAAATTATTTTAGGTGGAGCCCATGAATGTGCTGTATGTAAAACACAGCTAGAACATTTTGGATTAAGTCGACCATTAACATGGAGTAATTGTGATTTATATGGTTTAAAAGAAAGTGATTTAAAATCTGATATGAGAGTTTGTAGTAGTTGTAGATGCCGATCAGTTAGACGTAGATATACGCAGTAAGTATTTAATTTTTGTTGAATTGATTGTTTGATGAATTTGTATGCATTCTAATGTGAACCAAAAGTAATTGGTAATTTCAATTTCATAGTTATTCAGGTGTCGGGTCAGAATCTTTTCACCACTGAAATAATTAAGAAGGCCTTAACCCGTTAAGTGCGTAGGTTGTTATATAACGTCCTGGACAACTGCCACTCACTGTGTGTAGGGCGTAATATAACGCCTTGGAGGTATTTTCCCAAACCTATTCTTAGAACATAGTTCGTCACTTGGGGGAATCCCTTGGGAATCCCCCCACGATCGCAGCATGTGTAGGACATTATATTACGTCCTGGACAACTGCCACTCACTGTGTGTAGGGCGTAATATAATGCCTTGAGGTATTTTCCCCAACCTATTCTTAGAACATAGCACATAGTTCTTCGTCACTTCGTCAAATTAATTACACAATAGGGGGTAGTTAACGTTTTGAAAACGTCACACTTAACGGGTTAACTAACTTGACTTTTAGTCATATAAGTACTATTTATGATGGTAACTGCCTAGATTCTAATCATTAATTTATAGGCTAATATCCTTACAGTGTATATGACTCTATTCTTTGGAACCTTGAAATAGACAAAAATGGTTCTAAAACTTTAAAGCACATATTACTGTAATATTAGTGTATATACAGTGATTTATATTAAATTTTTGAAAAAAAATGTTGTAATTTCTAATCAATTATATTTGGTGAAATACATGAACAGTTCAACAGGTATCTTTATCAAACAATATTAAAATACCTGTAACAGTATTGAAATTTTGCATAAATAAACTAAAAAGTAGTAAATCCATAAAAGTTGTGTTATTATGAATTTATAGGATGTATGAGATGGGTCAAATTTCCCCAATCCCATGGATTTTTTCCAGGTCCTCTGGTTTCCTCCCACTGCAAGCAAATTATTGAAATAAAATTGTATCATATTTTAATTGCGAAATGGCGTGGTTTGTGTTGAGTGGACGTTAAACCCTATTCCTCTCTCAGTCTTTATAGGCTAAAGGTTATAGACTTGGACTATTTGTACTTTTGGTGAGTCCAATGGTAAATTATATCAGGTTTTTAATGCTGTATTTTTATTGAGGAATATAAAATGTCTTTTTATTTAAATTACATGTTAAGGTGTCCTGTTCCTACTTGTAAAACCCCAAAACGCAAGATGAAGAGGCTACGTCCATTACCACCAAAATGGGGAGAACTGTCAGCAGAGGTCAAAGATGTTATTGTAAAAGATTTACGTAAGTTAGTTTTATCATATTGAAGAGGGAGTGGTATAAATCTAGGTTTTAAAGTCACATATATTTCTTGTTAAAATACTTATCTGTCTTATATTACAAGTGTTTCATGTTACAAATACCCACCTGTTTCATGTTACAAGTACACAAGTACAAATCTGTTTCATGGTACAAGTACCAGGGGCAGATCAAGGAATTTTGAAAAGGGGTGGGGCGCCACAAAATGAGGGCACTGACCGCGGAGACGGGGCACGCCGCTGAGAGGGGGGTTTTTTTGGGGGGGGGGGGGGGTTCCCCCCAAAGAAAATTATCCGTCATTTCCTTGCATCTGTAGCCATTCCAAGAGCTATTTGGCTGATATTTTCGTCTAAATAAACTTTCGGAAATCGTTGAAAAAGAGCCTTAAAATCGAGCAAAAAAGCCAGTTGAACATTCGACTCGAAAATTGTCAAGGCGAGCAAGGCATTATGATGGGGAAAAAAGACGAATCTATTCCCTAGCCACTTCCCTATTTAAGCCTTGTAACTTGTTCTGTGTACTGTCCACACATGAAACAATGCTACATCAAGTTGCACTCATGCGTGTCGCTGATGGGCATGAGTGTATACGCTGCTGATTCTACAAGATGCTATCATTGATGTCTGTCTATAGTCACTCTATAGGATTAGGGTACCGTCAGCCAAACAACAAGAATTCATTTGAAAGTGGAAGCATTAATTAGACCAGACTGGTGTGTTTGAGTCATTTGGGATCCCTGCAACGGGTTGGGAACGGACATATTTGGGTCTGAGAAAAGGCACTTTCAGCAGTAAAAAAGAGCACTGTCGAAAATTAGGGGGGGGGGGCGCACCCCTCGTGCCCCCACTTGGATCCGCCTCTGAGTACCAATCTGTTTTATGGTACAAGTACTGATGTGTTTCATATTACAAGTTACTCCTGTTCTGTGTTACAAGTACCCATCTGTTTCATGTTGCCAATGCCCATCTTCCTCGTATAGAGAAAGCTAATAAACAGATCAAACAGAAAGCATTTATATATTTAATATACCATGGTACAAGTGCCATATGGAATAAATTTTATTTGACAGTGTTTATGTTTTATTGTAGAATTAACAGAAGAGATCAATAAATGTTGTTCGGCATGTTTTAATAGAATAGCTAGAAAGATGGGGAATAATCCACAAACTAACGAACCACTGGTACAAACAGTTCCTGAAAATACAGATGGTATGTTTCTAATGTTTATGTTGTTTGTATGGCTTGTACTGGAAACACAATACAAAGTGATCCTCCATATAAACATTTCACCACATCAAATGTGTTGAGGGTTTCTTTTGTACTATTTAGATTTTGTTTTAATAGTATGTATGCTGCTCTTATTGGGCGTATTAATACAATAAAATCTTGTCATATGTTAGCGAAATTACTGGCTTGAAAGTTGAATTCTCACTGAAGATTTTTCTGACCTTTATTCGAAGATAAGTCGAAGATAAGTATAAGACAAATGATTGCCATGTCCGTGGGAAATGGTTATTTCCCTTTGGAAGATAGATTCTATTTGGATTAAGATTATATGTAATGTGAATGGTGGATGTTTTTAAGCATCCTAAAATGATCATTCTAGTCTTTTAGCTGTCTATATCCGAAACATTTCAAATTTCAATTATGAATTCATCTTTTTTTTTATTTTGTAGAAATTGTAGAAACATCTAGATGGACAGAGGAAGAAATGGACATTGCAAAGCAAGGTATGAATTGTAGTAAATTTCTAGTAAATATGGAGGGAGAACTTGAACCAAATGTAAAAAATGTTTTGAATAAAATATACAACCAACTGAAATAATGTATTGGTCATTTAGGTTTACGAGAACATGGAAGAGATTGGGCAGCCATTGCAAATGTTGTTGGATCGAAAACAGAAGCTCAGTGTAAAAATTTCTATTTTAATTACAAGAAGAAGTTTAATCTAGAGGCCATCATAGCAGAACACAAAGAAAAGGTAAAAATATTTTATTCATTTTATCAAGAAATATCTTTCAAGTTAGTGTATATTTCATAATAACCAACAAATGTTATTAATTGAAATCATGTTAAAAATAGAATCTATTTATTAACAAAACAAAAATAAATCCAAGAAATTTTACTCATTTTAAAAGTGCTCTAGTAAGTAAGCGAGAAGTCGGGTACAGATCTGTTTCCTATAATGGATTGTTATGTTTTTACAGAATGAGGACAAGAGAACTGTTTCTATGTCTGAAAGTGTAGCATCAACGATGACTGCCCATTCAGATGATGAGTTATCTCTATGTGAAGAAGATAATGGAGAAGATAATGGTGATGATTCTGATACCACTAGTGCTCCTAGTCCTACACCAATGCAGATTGATGAAGGTATGTATAAACTGGGAGAAAGATTCCTTGAAGTTAAAAAGAAGGAAGTACAAAGTCTTGATTACTGAAATAAAATGTGGTCTTAACGTCCTGAGCAGTCTTAATAGCAAATCTAGATGAGTTATTAGCCTCTTTTATTTTTGCCTGTAGAATGTCTTTTTACTATATAACTTCCTGAAATACCAAATCTTATTTTTATTGGGTTTTGAAAATTTAGGATGTGTTTCAAACATGTACAACTCAGAAGTCATTTTTCAAAAAGGGTCTTGTGACAAGAAAGAGAACTAACTAAATCGAAGGATTGAGAAGAGCATCTTCTTCCGTAATTTATAGTCTCCACTACAATCAAGTTTGGTGGGTGAAAATCATGCGTGTATGAAAGTTTCATGCAGAAAATAGTATAACTGGTAAAGTGAGTTGAAATTAGGAAAGAGTATTTATAATGACTTTTCAAAAATGAGATGAAACCACATAAATATTAAATAAACCATGCCAAAGCACAGATTAAACTCATTTACAAGCTGTAAGGATGCATATTCTATCTACTTGAAAATCAAATTGTTTGTATTTTAAAGCTGGAGATGCAGTTAAGCTTGAGAAACCAGCTGTCCCTGACTCTACGATTACAGCATTGCCCCAGGTTGATACACTTGCTGACAAAACATTAAGTGCTTCACAAGGTAGTTTACGTAGTATACCAGATAATGACAGCAGTGCCACCTTGAGTGCTGATGAGGGGCCTGGACCTGGAACAGGGGGAATAACTGGCAGTGGTAGCCATCATGGTCCAACATCTCGTCCATCCTCTACTGGAGGACCTGTTCCTGTTAAAGTTACCTATGGTAAGTTTGCAAAGATTATATCCTGTTTTACATCATCAACCTATTCTTAGCACATCCATTTTACAGATCTTCCAAGCTATAATTTTAAAATATTTATATCTTTTTTTGCAGCTGCACCAGCAATAGGTACTCCAACATTATCACCAGTGTCTCAAGGGCATGTTGTATCACGAATGCCAGGTCCACTACCATCTTCTAACAGATATGGCTCTGGTCAGACGATGCCTGGTCAATCTCCTCACAATAGCTTACCCATGGATGTCAAAATACACAGTCCAAGACCAGCTTCCTCTCCAGGCCTTCCTCCAGGTCGAATATGGCACAGTGCTAGTCCATCTTTCAGTCAGTCATCTCGTCCTCCAAGCAGAGATGTACAGGTCATTGACTACTCGTCCAATCAGATTTCACAATTCCCAGGACGCTTAACCCCTCATGATAGTCGACTTTCTCCGAGACCCCCTAGTGGACATTCTGAAAATAGTCGCAGTGCAGTTTCTCCTCACATCCAACAAGGAAACCAGTTTGTTGAAAAGAAAGCTCCCTGTGTGCGAGATTTGATTAATTCAGCTATTGAGAGAAATTTGAGTCAGCCTGCAGCAGGTCAAGCACAAGATATAGGCGTTGCTATAACTAAACAAAGTAAGTCAGTCAGTTTACAAGCAATGTGTTAATCCTTCCTTCTTAGAATTAATTTAGTGAATAGCCAATCCCGATAATTTTAAAAAAGTAATTATCTGTATAAAAATATGACTGCTTATGGCATTTAACTGTATTGTTGTTAATGTGGTCATAAATTGTCACCACCTTGGTATGTCCATCCACGCTTGCTTTACTGACTCTACTGTATTCAGTTCTGGAGTAGTTAGTATTGGGATAAAGATGTTCACTACAGATTTTGAGTTCCCGTGTTAGTGACTCTGCCTGTTGATAACATATGTTACTGTGCTCGTACTTGATCTACAGAGTTAAATTCATTTCCGATATTCACCAAATTTCCAAGAATAGTCAATATTGACTCATAGATTGTCGCTATTGATTTTGAGTGTTTTTGAAAAATTAGCTCCAGAGTTATGGCCCCTATCTAATTTGATTGTTGATAAGAATGGTACAGATGAAATCGGCTGTTGATCTTGCCATGCCTTGTCTTGCAAACTACTTTTTGTAGATTCAATTATCCTTATCTTTCAAATTTTTCAAATGCAGTCATGCTCCTTATTGATTTTGTAATAAATTTTTATTTCAGTTCCTATCAGTGGGTTGCCACATGTTGGTCAACCACAAGATTTAAGAACTTTGAAGGATAAAGGCTTAGAACAAGTGGCTATGATGCATCAAGTTGATACACGAACAGGAATTCCCTATGCAGTTCCCCGATATGCTGATCGTGAACCACCAGATGCTCGTCATACACGGGAACCTGAGATTCAGGACTATTCTCGACGTGTAGATATGGATAGAGGTCCTCATGGTTACAAAGGTGATCCAAGAGACTTTGAATCACCAAGGCAAAGAATGATGCTTGATCCTTACCCTAGACTGCCCGATCAGGCTTTGGCAAAACCTATGGGAGCCCCTCCTCCTGCTCACTCGCATCATTCTCACCAGACTCGACCTGAAAGTAGGGGAAAATCTCCTTCAATTTATCCCTCTGAGCATTCAAGATCATTGTCACCAGCTGTTCGAGGTATACCAACATCTGCAGGGTCACCATATGATCCTTCAAGGCATTCACCAGCCAACCGTGGAGGAATTCCTCCGCCTCCACCTCTCATTAACAGCACTTCTTCAAAAATGTCCCCTAAACTTGCTAGATCCCCTCCTGTGAGTTCGATGTCTCTTCTTCCTACAGGATCCATTACACATGGTACACCTGGGGTTCAATATCTGAGTGCTCCAACCCATGCAGTTCAGGCACCATCCAGACGTTCAGAAGGTTTACCAAGACAGACTACACCACCACGAGTGGAGGGTTCTATTACAAAAGGTACTCCATTGAGTCGTGAAGGAATGGGAAGGGGAGTTCCCGGTCAGATGGATGTTCGGATGATGGATCCTAATGTTGGAAGAGGTCATGTTATGTATGAAGGAGGTTTTAGACAAGGTGTACCCTCAGGATTTTCGGAAAGAGGTCAGCAGCAACCTATGGAAATGTCTAAAGGACAGTATCCATACCAATATTCTTATCAAGAACAGGCAGTTCCTTACAGTTCTAAAGCTACTTTGGTTAGTGATTTCTTTACAGCTCAGCAAATGCATAGACGATCTCCAGCTGCACCAGAAAAGGAAGGAGGGCGTCTTTCTCCAGCAGGTGGTCCTCCTCAAAGACCATTTCCTGGAGGAATTGACCCTCGCATGCCACATCCTCAAATGCCTCCTTACAGTACACAGGGCATGGTTTACCTCCCTCATCCAAGTCAAGTAGCAGTTTCTTCAAGTGACAGACAACCAAAGTCTTCTCCATATCCACCTCAATGTTCCCCATCACCTCGTGAAGATAAACCAAGAACCTCTTGGGTACAAGCTGGAATGTCTCATCAACCAGTAACTGTGGCAGGTTTGCCAGTTAATCCTCACTATCCTCCCAGGCCAAGTATCGTTGCTGGAACTGGAAAACCAAATCAGCAGCTTCTACCAGATAGTACAAGCGTTCAACAAAGACAAGCTGTATCACCACGCCATGTTGAAATGAGTCAACATCTAGGAGTGCCCCAAAGAGATGGAAGACGTCATACTTCACCAACAGGGATGAGACCAAATTTTAGGCAGGGTATGGAAGTAGAACAGCCAGATCATAGAAATCAGCGTCATCCTGATCATATTCAGATGGCCATGGTAGAAGCTGCAAGAGCAAGAGCTGAGCAAGAACATTACAGGCCCAGGGCTAGCACTAACCCAGATCAACCAGTCGTCATTACAGATGGTGATTCTTCTCCAGGAGATTCCAATAGAACAAACTTATTGACCGATCCAGACTATTTCAGAAAAAAGTTTCCAGGCGTATCTGTTGGGAATGGAAATGCATTAATGTTAACCGCTTTCCAGAAAGATAGAGAACAGCCTCCAGTTACTGTAGTTGAAAACCAATCAGGTCCCCCCAAAAGTCTTACAGCTGCCACACTGATAGACGCCATCATCACCCATCAGATTAACCAAACTACTGAGGACAAAAAGGATAGAAAGTTACAAGGGCAGAGACACCAAGAACATCAACGAATTATTAAAGAGGAACGTGAGTATGAAAACATGAGCAGTTTTGGCAAATCAAAGCAGATGTATCAACAACAAGCACAGCAACAGCAGCATTCTGAAAATCCCAGTGCTTATGGTCATCAGGATCCAGAGAAGGTTCAGCCTCCAGGAATTGGTTATCCCCCTCTTCCTCTGGGGAGATCCCCACTACCACATGATACTAGGCCAAGTATTGTATCTGGTCAGGGTGGACATCAGAATCAGCAAATGGAAAGAGAAGCTGACACAAGTCGAGGTCCAACAAGTGAAGGTGAAGACCCGTCCAAATCAGGCATTACACTAGGAGAACACATCCATGCTATAATCATAGGAGACTATCAACAGAAGAAGATGCAAAGTCCTAAAGGAACAGCTAGTTTATTATCACAGATCAGTAATTCTAGTATGACAGGTAAGATGTTAACATGTAAAACATATAATTGTGATATCACCATGTTATGTCTTTTCCTGTTAAATTCTATTACATCTGTAATTAAACATACATTATGCAACTGCTAAATCTGCCTATTGCAGGTCTTTCTTTGGGCCTGAAATGTTATCTAAATTATTAATTAGACATTAATTAACTTATTCAGACCATAATCAACTCTCAATGTCATCGCTAGCCTGCGATGTTTATTGGATTAGGTTCCGATTTGCTGTTTGACTTCCATTCATGATTTAATCATGAAATGGATAATCGAGACTATGTTTTTTTATCATACTGATCGAGGCTAGGTTGAAAATTAAATCGCTAAAATCTCGGTTTGACTGAAATTTTCAGCAAATTCCCTTTACATTATCTAGTTTTTAACTATTATAGTGAGAACTGCCAACTCGTTATCTAATCTACCATAATGTATCTTTAATAGCCTGAAAAAATTATCTGTTCTTGTCTATTGTTTTCGGTAATTTTGAAATATGTATTTTCCATGGATCAGTGCTGTTAACTTCTAATCACTCATCAAGTAATCTGTGTTGATCTCAGTCAGGTCACAACAATTTGATTTTCTGTTCTTTGGGAACACCTGTAAAAAGTTTACTTCCTATTTCTTCTGGAGAAAGATTTAAGTAAAAACCAAAAGTACTTGGTTGTGCTGTTCAAAGGTTGAAATTTTGAACAAACCATCTCTCATGTGATTCAAGACCTCAAAGAACAGAAAATAGAATTGGTGTGGCCTATTTAAAAGTTCTTCATTGTCCCCCGCCTTTCGAAGAAAGCAGGGGACTATTAAAATGGGTCTGTCTGTCTGTCTGTCTGTCTGTCTGTCTGTCTGTCTGTCTGTCTGTCCGTCTGTCTGTCCGTCACACTTTTTGGGACACAATAACTCTCTTCCTAATTGAGCTAGAATGTTCAAACTTGGTGTATGTGTTTATTAGGTCAATGCCTTGATGGAGTTCGAAGATGAGCATTTTCCGCTTAGGGTAAGCAGAGATAAGCAATTTGATTGGTTGATGCTTTGGGACACGATAACTCTCTTCCTAATTGGGCTAGAATGTTCAAACTTGGTGTATGTGTTGATTAGGTCAATGCCTTGATGGAGTTCGAAGATGAGCATTTTCCGCTTAGGGTAAGCAGAGATAAGCAATTTGATTGGTTGATGCTTTGGGACACGATAACTTTTAATTGAGCTAGAATGTTCAAACTTGGTGTATGTGTTTATTAGGTCAATGCCTTGATGGAGTTCGAAGATGAGCATTTTCCGCTTAGGGTAAGCAGAGATAAGCAATTTGATTGGTTGATACTTTGGGGCACGATAATTATATGTGTCCTCTAATTATTTTCCTATTTCGGCGGGGGACATCAGCCTCACTGTTGGCTTGTTTGATTTTAATTTCCAGGAAACCAGAATAACCCTTCACCATACCTCCATCCAGATCGTAATCTAGCTGCACCACATCCTAGTGTTACACCACCCATCTCTAGAATGTCACCTAGTGAGAGTTACCTGGTTGGTTCAACAACAGATTCTAGACCACGTAGTTTATCTGCTGGCGGGGCAGCAGCTCCTTATGGTGGTTATCAAAACTGGAAAAAACGAGCTTCCCAACAGGTGAGTTTCAATGACGAATGGTTAATATTTTTAAAATAAAACAGGGTATTTTGAGGTTGAGATGTATGAATTTATCAATAAAGCTAATAATTTAAAGTATAGTCCAACTTTATTGAAATGTTATAAAACCGAAAAAAAACCACTGTGACATACAGCCAATAAACATTTTCCTTAGTTTTCCTTAGTTTAACAAAAAGATGGCAGCTAAAAATCGTCGGAAAGTTTTGTGGATTTTATATTCCCCCTAACTTTTGTTAGGATTGGACGATTTTTATAGACCAATAGACTCTTTTGAATTACTTAGACTGCTCTTTATTGTACATTGTTTTAAGGTCTATGTTTGCGATTTATTCCAGAAGATTGGACATTTGAAAGTAGATAAAAAATAATGCTCTATTATAAACAATATTTTATTCTCAGAAAAGGATTGAGGAAAAGGTTAGGCCTGTATTACCTCTCTCCTATGTAACAAAAAAATATATACAAAGAAAGTTATATGACCTTTTGTGATGAAGTGCTAACTGCTAATCATGTTGAAAGGCAATGCATAGGGCATTTTTATATGACCTCATTTTCATGTGGACGTATATTGTCGTTGCCCCCTGTCCGTCCGGACATCCGTCCACAATTTATTTGTGGATATTCTACAGGTCACAATTTTTATCTGATCTTGACAAAACTTGAAATATGGGTCTATCTCCCAAAGATCTTGTTTGCTTTCGAAATTGGCAAGAATTGGATCGAAACATCATGGATTATGGCCCCTGATTGTACGAAAAATCACATATTTAGCTTGTGGACACTCTAGAGGTCGCAATTTTCATCCAGTTTTGATGATTGTACGAAAAATCGTGTTTTTAGTTTGTGGTCCCTATCTAGAGGTCACAATTTTTATCCGATTTAAAAAAAAAGGTTCAAATATATCACCGTTACACCATAATGTTGGTTGAGTGAAAATCGGACCAAACCTGCCGGACAAAATGGCCTCCCCTCGAACGCAAAAAGTGTAAAAGTATGTATTACCAAGGTTGTGGACCCTCTAGAGGTCACAATTTTTATCCGATTTTGCTGAAACTTGAAAGGTATGCTTATAACCCAAAGATCTTGGTTCCTTTCGATATTCACGCATATCAGATCATAACTTCCTGAATTATGGCCCCTGATTGTACAAAGATATCGCTTTTTTTTTTTTTTAGCTTGTTCTCCATCTTGTGCTTGACTTACCAGTGTCAGGGGGGTACTGCACCCTTGTATCTTTCAGAAGTATTAACTATATACCAGCCTACCCGTACTTTGAGATCCCAACATCAAAACCTTTTATGCATTCCGTCATCAAAATTGAAACACTTTGGAGATAGAAGTTTCAGTGTTGCTGCACCCAAACTCTGGAATAGTTTGCCAATCAATATCCGTGACTGTAAAACTCTGTCAAGTTTTAAATCACATTTAAAAACTTACATGTTTAAACTATCTTATCCAGACTAATATAATTGATATGTTTTTACTCCTTTTTGAAAGTGCTTTGAGCATGCTTATGGATGGATTTGGTGCTCTAGAAATCTACATTATTATTATTATCCACCTCTTGCAAAATGTGGGCATATTTTGTCTGGCAACCTCTGGTTTTATTTATTTCTGTCATGAAATTGTTAATTTGTCTTCTCCAGGAGAATGAAGTTGTTGTTCATTAAATTTCCACTGTTTTTCTATGCCATTTCGTTTATTGCAGCAAGAACAAGAGCATCTAACAGCATCTAATCCTGATATAAGTGTTATAGTATCTTCCCACCAAGATACACAACAGCCATCTCAACATCAACTGCATCCTAGTCAAGGGGGACAACTCCATCCAGATCAATCTAGATCCCCAATGCAGTCATCCTCGCCAACTGTACCTAGTGTTATGGCTGAAACACCGACTTCTACAGGTAACATTGGGTTTTAATTTTACTCAACAGCTTTTTAAGTCAATTTCCAATTTGCCAGAAGTATTGTATTGTCTAGCATTTTTGTACTGCCATTTGTTGTAACAATACCACAAGGAAACTATATGGAGTCTTATGGGTGTTTATTATTTTAAAAAATGAGATAACAATAGGAGGATGTATTTTGACTATTTCAACATTCAACATAGCCTTATAGGATATTGGCCTAGTCAAGGTGTAACAATAGGTTGCTCGACAACACTTTGCAATTTTTCATTGACAAATGTCATTATAGGTTATGCACAGTTCATGAAACTGCAAAAGTGTTTTTTCTCTTTTGCATGAAATTGTTGACATTTCTTTTTAAATGTATGCAGTTTTTGAAACAGAGATGTAAACTGGTCATGTACAAAACTACCAGCACTGGGTATGACAAGATTTAGATCTTGTATGACTATAATTTGTTTTATGTCATTGAATGCTGTTTTATTTTAACAGAGATGAGTGAGCATGGTAGTAATAAAGGTTCACCAACATCAACAGTTGGTCCACAACAACTTACACTTGGTAACCTCATGGCACGAACTAAAACAGGTATGTCATTTTAATTTATCTTGTCAAGTAAAGGATCTCTCATATAACGGTGGCTCAGTGAGGAAGACGCTGGCTCACTAACCAGGAGGTCTTGGGTTTGATCCTGGTGTCGGCGGAGAACGATCATGTTGAGTTTCAGGCATGGTTTCCCCCCTTGTCAAGTCCTGTGTACACATTGGTGTGCATGTAAAAGAACCCTGGACAAAATTTTTGAGTATGCCCGTCTTCATAAGCCCGGTTGGTGCAGAAAAGTAGGATATTAAACCCCCATTTCATTCCTCATATAACAATACATAGTTCAGTACATAGTTGTAACTCAGAGTATAGAAAGTAAAAATGTTGACTGGATAAATTGTGCATCTTGTGTTCTAGCCGGTGATGGGCTCCAATAATTAATCTAACCAACCATGCATGCAACTGTGTGTCTGTTACCAGTGCTGATCGAAGGTATAATATATATGATTACCACAGAAAACCATGGTTATGATTAATGACAACTTTTATCACTTGAAATTTTTTAGATAAGCGGAAAATACGCTTGATTGTCAGGTCAAAAAACATACATTTTAACCCATGGTTTTAGATTGTGTCATTAATTTTATTACTGCACAAAATGAGGTTGATTGCACTGCACTTTTCAGGTAAATCACTGCACATTTCAGGTTGATCACTGCACATCTTAAAAACAATGCTCAGAGACGCCTATTGAAGTTTAAAATTCCTGTTATTGCTCTGAAATTATGGCCCTTGTGAATCTTGTGAACACTATAACCTGTTATTTGTTTTACAAAAATATTAATATAATGTTTATCTTTCAGGCGTAGCTGATAGTACGGCAACTGGTAGTTCTTCTGATGTATCTGGTGGACAGAAAACCATGGAGATATCTCCACAAGAATATGTCAAAAATCAGATAGAGAAAGTACTTCGAGAAGATCCACAATCCACTGATAAGCTTTCCACCAATCAACAATCTCGCCTGCAATCAGGTGACAAGCCCTTGGCAGCTCCCCAACAAAGACAACAATCGAACATGTCTCCATATCCAGGTTGGCCTGCCCAACATCATGGAGAAATGAGACCTAAGGACCCAGCTATTAATGAACAGAAGGGGGCTGAAGAAGCAAATCAGTCAGCTAAGTCACAAATGGGTGTTTTTTCACAATCTGCTGATCCATCTGACCCTAACTCAGTTCATCAACAGGCACCGTATATGAAGAAGAGGATAATCGGCAATAGATCCCGTGGCAAAGAGGAACCAACTGGAAAATTTAGTCAACCTCAAACCCCTAGAGAACCCTCACGCCACTCACCCATGCAAGCCACCAAGTCCAGTAAACCTGGAGGTCTACAAGGTCTACACAAAAAAGCTCCCCAATCAGAATATGATTTCCCTGATAGTCCTGATGATTTGGAGCCTGGTAAAAAACCTAGTAGTTACATGGCCATGTCTGTTGCAGCTCGTAGCCCCAGACGTGGAAATGTTGATAGTTCAGATCACGGCAAAGGTGAAGGAAATATAGGAAGTTCCGTTGACGATGGACAGAGCAGAGATGGAGAGAAGATATCTTCAAGTGATGCTCCTGGGTTTGAAAGTATGGAAGGTAGTGATACTAGACATTCAGTTTCAGGGTCTAGAGATAATGACGATAACTCAAATGTTTCCCACGCAAGTGTTGACAGTACCCAGTCAGATAATATGGTCATTGATGAATCGGCTAATATTGACAGTTCAACCAATTTTGAAACATCTGACAGACCACGTTCCTCAAAATCTTCTTCTCCTCGTACTCAAATAAATAGTCCTCAGTGTTCTGAAGTTTCCTTTGAACAATCGGATGCTTCCCAAGAAGTTCATGGAACAACAGGGTTTGTTCAGCGATCTCGAAGTCCACGTTCATTGGATGGGAATTACCTGGCATCAGGTGATGCTTCCCGACCTCACACTGGTGCAGATTCAAGTGTGGTTGTGACAACTGGTGCAGGAAGTTATTATTCTGGAGGTCAACAGGTCGTATCTAGCGTGACCCAGCCCCGTGTATATCAGAGAAATGAACCTGCTGTTATATTATCATCACAGTATGAAACATTATCAGATGAAGATTGAACTATATATCGCTAAATTTTACTAACTTGACACCTAACAGTTAAAGTCTCTGAGCGTCATTTGGATTATTTAACATTTAATAAAAAGAAAATTAAAAGACAATCTCTCAGACTGGATCAAGTCAGTTTAAAAAGAGGCCTATCAAAACAACAGGTGATGCTGACTTTTGACCATATCCAGTTTATAGCGTACACTGAGAATGCAGAATGTTGACCATCCTTCTTAATACGGACAAATTGGAACCATCTTTGGACTTATTCCTTTGACAATATTGAAGTTGAAAGGGATTCCTTAATTCCTCAAATGATATCCAGAGACTTTAAGTCAGTAGGTTATGTGTGTTGGTTTAATCAGATTAAAATCATTATGGACATATATTTATGTTGCTATCCTACTGTTGATTAGACGATTTCTGTTGATTACACAACATCACTTGATCACACAACATCTGTTGATTAGACGACCTCTGTTAATTACAGAGGGATTGGGTGACTGAATGGTCCAACGTGTGTGCTTTAGGTCATGAGGTCTAGCATCGAGTCAAGTGACGTGGTTTCGATTCCCAGCTTGTACATGACAAAGGAGTAGGGTGGCCTATTCCAGCTTGTAGGTTTTCTTCAGGTCCTCCCACTCCTAAAGACCCCTATTGAACCATATCCCAAATGACCTAGTTTGTGCCAAGTAGACATTAAACCCCATTACAATCTCTCTGTTGATTACACGACTTGTGTAAGGTTAGATATTTCTACAGTGACATCCTTAAAGATGAAGTCAAGTTGACTTAAAAGATACTTTCTAGCGTATAATTTGGACTAAAAACATATTCAAATTAATTAATCTATCGAAAATTTGCTTCAAATCCCTCTCAAAACTTTGTATTCATCGTCAGATAGCGCAAGCTATAAATAAACTGTTGTTAGTTGCGGTGCCAGTAAGCACAATTCATTGAGGGAGGATCCATTTTTCAGAATGTATTTTTCGTTACTTACTGTCCGTTTATCATACATATTGAGGCCTAAGTAACTTCTTAATTATTTTTTTTCAACTACATTTTCCGTCATTTAATTACAGAGTCTTTTGTAAGTTGACACCCCTCAATGTTCCCAAAACCGCCTAACCATTTGATCAAGAAATAACAATCGCTCCTTCAGTCAAGCTAGCACACAACAAGCTAGCAGACAACAGTCAGGTTGCCAGTTAGTGATACCCAGACATTTTTGTCCAGTGCTTGCCCCATGGGTGTTTTTCGTGTAATCCAGTATTTCTCTAGTTTAAGGGCTAATCCTGATAATATTTTGGAGAATAAAACTGGTTAATTTTGTGTTAAAATCACTTAAAATCCTCTACCTTGGGGCCGAACAACTAACTCAATATATTTGATACGTTTTCAAACAACTTAAACTGGTCAGTCTTCACCTGTAAGTGGGGACCGGTGCCCAAAGCTGTATTATGTGGTGTCTGGATAAAACCAGCCTTTTATTTTATAAAAATAATGTGTAGGTGAAATTTACCTTTCGTTATCAAGTACAGCACATGGGTCATTCACTGTATAAACCTCTAAAGAAACAGGAATCGATTATCAGGTCACCCAAGGAAAAAATTGACCCGAAATCTTAAAAGGGTTACGTGTCCGGATAAGCAGTTTTCACGTTCACGTCCAAATGACTCAATATTTTGAGCTGAAATTTTGAGACAGGGTAAATACACCATTCCTCTATATTTTGGCGCTTAACTTTCATATGTACTCGGACTGTTAATTTTGAGACTCTGTTCAATTCGGGATAGTCCCTTTAAATTGAAGGTCTATACTTTCCATATATACCAAATTTGCCATATTTATATTGGAAAAAAAACCCTGATAAATACTTTCTGGACAATGTATCATTAAAAACAAATGAAGTCTTAACCAACCAATTTGACTTTAAAGACTTTGAATTATGAATTTATGTATAATTTGTAACCATGGTTATATGAGTGTAAATTTGTTTATAATATTATATGTCAGTTATGAAGTAGTATATTTGCTAGTATTATTAGAGACAGAGATAATATAATTAACTAATACTGGTGTTTTATCATTGATGTGATTTTTGGTTGAAATGGCTAATGTAAAATAGTATGATGCTTGTTTGACTGTTATTTTTAGTGCCAATCATTTATTTTTGAATTGGCTAATCATTTATTAAATTTTGTAATGTAACTCTTACATTAAATATTATATTGTATCGCTCGCTAGATGTGTCCTGTAAATTTAACTTATGAATTAGTTATGTTCCAAAAGGTGCCATAACTTCGTAGACATTGTTTATAACGCATTACTTGAGAAATGCTAATATAGGAAATATAAGATTTGAATATCAATACTTGATATATACACATCTAAAATATAAATACTAGTACTGGTATTTAATTTTATAGTTGTCTGTCTTTTATCATTCATCTTCCGTAAGTCAACATCCCTATCCGACTCATTTAAACAATAAAACCCACACAAAAATAGTCATCATATTAACGGCACAGTTTAATAATCTAAACTCACTTCTCTATGGAATAACAATTACAGGTTTATTAACTTTTCCATGATGATACATTCATGGAAACGTTACAATTCAATAAACCAGGAATTGTTATTCCATACATCATTACTAAATACCACTGAAAGAAGTTAATGTAAACTGTAATTGTATTGGGATGCCTAAACATCTAGTCTTTATCGCAGATTTTAACAAAACTATGTTATACATGTATATATCATCATTGTGTTGTGTAACATTCAAAATATGTCTTCATCATTTGTAAACTGTGTATGTACATTATAGATGGGCATTTCTTATTATAATATGAATTCAGTGAGTTATTAACAGTTATGGTCTTTCTGACCTGGCCCTAGTTTCATGGTATTTATCTTACCTACAACATGTACCTAACATTTATTGATAACTGTGGGCTTTCTTCACTATAACTTCTAACAAGCAAATTAACATTATTTGAAATATACCATTCCCCATGGTTTTGATATATGGGTAAGGCGACCTTAATGTAATAATGTTAATAATGTACTCAATAAATAAAAAAGAGTTCAAAATAGAGTTGTCTTGTTCCGTTTAAAATTTATAAATAACTCTTTTGTTATTTATTGATTACATTATTAACTGTACAACTAACTGCACCTTGTAACCAGGGCACAGTACTGTAACCTTACCCATATTTTATATTAAATGGTATGAAATGTTACTTAAAGGAGCTAAATCGCTAACATTTGGGACCTAGAAATTCACAAAAGAGGGGCGCAACGCATATAATACTGTAATATGAATGTATATAAACTGATTTACATTTAATGGTTTCAGTTTTTACTCCAATTTCAAATCAGTTATGTTCGACGAAATAAGTCGGCAATCTAAATCGAGTGCAAATTTCTAGCGTCTAGTTATTCTAGTCTACATAACTCCATTTGATTTGGTGCAATGTGTCTAGCCTCGTCCCTCGAGTCTCTCAATACAACTGGGGCTGAAGCGCATTATGGTACTCGATTCCTGTACCAATGTTAAAAAAAAATTTTTATCTTAAATATCGGATATCAGAAGATCATCTTTTCCCGGTAAGTTTGCATCATCAATGTTGATTTAAATTGACCAATAATTCGGGTTTTCGATGTCGAAGATTTTGGAGGATTTTGAGTTACGGACTTGGGTCCTTTAATACATGTTGTAAAACAAGCTGTTTATCATAACATTATATCACTTCAACAAAAGTTATTTGTGCAGGCTTTAAGTTATCCTTGTCATGTTATTTGTAAATTGATGGAATAAAACTTCCGACATGTTATTTATTGTTATATTTATTTTTTAGGGTAAAGCAAACACAAATCCAACTACTTTACTTGAGTTGATTTAGGTATTATGAAAGCCAAATTTACCACTAATTTGTCTCAGTTTCCAGAGTTTTCTAGAGAACTTTGTTACTGCAACTTTAAAACATGTGCAAAGACTGAAAGAAAATATATGCTCCAAAACTGTTCTGAAACTTGGTAGGAATGAGGAACACATTGATGCCTTCAAAATAGCATATTAAAATATTTTGTGACGGTTTCCGGAAATTACCGAGGACTTCCGATTTTTTCCGAATATAAATAGTTCTCTCCATTTTAAAAATAGACTAAAATTGAGGTATTGTGGCACACTGATCCGCAGTGAATATTTGCTAGGCCGCTACAATCACTGATAAGGATGACATCGATGCGGCTTAATGAGCCAGTAATATTAACTTTTTTCCTGCGACAAATTGAATTCTAAAACATTTTTTTTATGTATTGGAAAAATAAATAAAGGCGTTTGACGTATTTGTAGGTAAAAATTATTTCCTATTTAGTGTAAATGGGTATTAAAATGACTAAAATGCAGCATTCTCTCGGAAGCAGTAACGTCTTATGTAAACAATGCACGCGCCATTCAGCCAATGATTGACGCCTCGTGCTGTGACGGCACGTGTTAAGGCAGTCATCTTTGACAGAGATATATTACTAGACTCGTAATTCTCTGTGAAACAGATTGGTATTGTGGTGTTAGCCCCAGATATTATCTTTCATTTTCAGAGACATTGTTCCATAACATTTTCAACCATTTGGCCGCCATTTTGAATTTTACAAAAAAACCTTCAAATCGATATTATAGCCACCATTTTGATTCCGATTTTCGAAAACTTTTTTTTGTTTGTGCTGTTTTGTACCTACTCCAAATTGCAACATTTCTTAGCTAGGGAACCGATTTTTGAATTTCAATTTATTTTACTTCCGGTTTAATTTTGAATTTTGTTCGACTTTTCAACTGCTATCTGGTGACCTAACCTTTTAATGACCCTTGACCTTTTCATATATGACGACCCTCATTTCTACTAACAATTAATATCAAAATATTCGGTCTTGAAGTATAACTTCTGGTTTTATTAAGAATTCAAAATGACAGGTCCTAGGTATTATCCTCAATAATTCATTTTGACGAAACTTGATATATAAGTCACGGTTGCTTTCGATATTGGAATGCCGCATGTATCGTATCGGACCGTAACTTCATGGATTATGGCCCCCGATAAGTTTTTAGCTTGTGAACACTCAAGAGGTCACAATTTTGTATCTGATTTTGATAAAACTTAAAGTGTAATAACGCAAAGATCTTGGTTCCTTTCGATATTGCGGCATATCGGACCGTAACTTCTGGTATGGCCCCCGATTTTACGAAAAATCACCTTTTTATTTTAGCTCATTCTCTGTCAATCAAGTGCAAAGTGTGGCGGTATGCATGTAGATAAAGAGATTGTCTCTATGAACTAATTAATTCAATCTGATTAAAACCCAGGTCCTATTTCGTTTCGTTTTTTTTATAGTTCAAAATTTTGTTTTATTTGTCTGTACTACACTAGGAAGAGTTGTTATATAATTGGCCAATGAAACCATCTGTTACGGCGACTTCTTGGCGTGCCATGCACGGAACTGTGAGTAAACCACCAGAAACGTCAACGCTGACCGATTAATCAATGTCTGACGTCTTAGGTTTAAAGCCGCTCGTACGATCCCTGACGCGACCTACCAGTACAACTAGTCAGATCGTCATGAAATGTAGATCTGTATTTTAGTTAGATTGTAATTAATTTAGATGTTTTCACTACATTTTTTGTGGGGTTTCCTGTTTAAATTATAAATCTTATCTGTTAATATGTTCTTGCATCATTTGTTTTGATGTGCAGTTATCCTACATTGCATTGTCTATTTAAAACAAGCGGTTGCCATGCAAAACACGTCCACATTTTGCAAGAGATGGATAGAGAATGAGCAGGGGCCATGATCTAGGAAGTTACGATCCGATATGTGCGAGTATCAAAAGGAACTGAGACCGTTGAGTTATAAACATACATTTCAAGTTTTATAAAAATCGGATTCAAATTGGCATTTTTAAGAGTGTCCAAGAAGCTAAAAAGGCAAAATGTTGTTCAATCAGGGGCCATAATCCAGGATGTTACAGTCCAATACGTGCGAATATGGAAAGGAGTCGATATCTTTGGGGTATAAACATAGATTATAATTTTAATCAAAATCGGATGAAAATTGTGATCCCTGTGACAAAGTGCTTTTTATAAAATACGAACTATTATTTAGATGCTGTGAACTTATTGACCCCAGTTGGTTTTGAAAATAGGTGATATCGACTTTTCAACTCTGTATATACTTCTGTTAAGGTGCGAACTGGCTATGATCTAATTAAACATGCAATTAATCCCATATTAGGTCATTTACAAACTACATATGATCTGTCAATCTGTTTCACAGAGATCTTCTAATATCTCTGTAACAGATGACTGTTTCGACACGTGACGACACATCACGCGGCGTCAATCATTGGCTCAATAGCGCGTGCATTGTTTACCTAAGACGTTACTGATTCGGACTAAATGGTAAATTTTACTTATTTTAATACCCATTTACACTAAATCGGAAATGATTTTTACCTACAAATAATTCAAACGTCTTTTTTATTTTATAATAAATGAAAAAAAATGTTTTAGAATTTAATTTGATGGAAGAAAAAAGTTAATATTTGAGATTCATTAAGTCGCATCGTTGTCATCCTTATCAGTGATTGTAGCGCCCTAGCGAAAATTCACTGCTGATCAGTGTGATGATCTGTGTACAAGCTCCGCATTACTTCAAAGGAATACGCACTGGTCAGCAAGCATACCATGGCGTGATAAATAGACAATTGCATGTATGATCATGAATCTTATCTATTTTCGGAGGCTATATAACAAGGAGTTTGCTGACAGACAGACGACCGGGGATGAGGAGAGAGACGGGAGAAGTAGAGACCGGCATATGGACTCACCCGAGTTCAGCTGCTGCCGTGGCCCGAGGACGGAATGGTTGTCTTAATGTAGCATGTTAATGTTATCGTTTATTATCCTGGTGTAGTTTTAGCTCATGTTGTATTTATGTAGCTGTTTTATATACCTGATGTAAATAAATGATATATTTACTAAACCGATATCAGTTATCACCAAGATAGTGTCACACCCCTAGATGGTCCACAACCTTGATATACCATACCTTTACATGGTTAAGAAGAGCAACCATTTTGTCCGGCAGTTTCGGTCCGATTTTCGCGAAATTCCATCTCAACCATCATTATGGTGTAACGGTGTAATATTCAAACGTGACCTCTAGAGGGACCTCAAGCTAAAAACACATGTTTTCGTACAATCAGGGGCCATAATTCAGGAAGTTATGATCCGATATGCTTGCATATCGAGACGAACCAAGATCTTTGGGTTATAAACATACATTTCAAGTTTCATCAAAATCGGATGAAGATTATGACCACTTGAGTGTCCACAACCTTGATATACCACAATTTTACACTATTTGCGTACGAGGAGCAGCCATTTTATCCGACAGTTTCAGTCCGATTTTCACGAAATTCGAATTCAACCCTCATTATGGTGTAACGGTATTATAATTTTAAAAGGATAAACATTGTGACCTGTATAGTGACCACAAGCTAAAACGTGAGTTTTCGTACAATATCAGGGGCCATAATCCAGGAAGTTACAATCCGATATGTGCAAATATCAAAAGGAATCAAGATCTTCGGGGTATAATAAACATACATTTCAAGTGTCATAAAAATCGGATGAAAATTGTAGCCTCTAGAGTGTGTGAAATATCTTTATTTAACGTCCGCTTCCATCGAAGTGATATCGCAATTTTGATATACCATACTTTTACACTATTTGCGTACAGGGTGTGGCCATTTTGTCCGGCAGGTCCGGTCCGATTTTCACGAAATTGAAATTCAACCGTCATTATGGGGTGATGATGATCTATTGGAACGGATTTTTAAATCGGATAAAAAATTGTGACCTGTAGAGTGTCCACAAGCTAAAAACGCGATTTTTCGCACAATCGGGGGCCATAATCCAGGAAGTTACAATCCTATATGCACGAATATCGAAAGGAACCAAGATCTTTGGGTTATAAACAAACATTTCACATTTCATCCAAATCGGATGAAAATTGTGACCTAGTGTGTCCACAAGCTAAAAACGTGATTTTTCGTACAATTAGGGCCATAATCCATGAAGTTATGGTCAGATGCATGCAAATTTCGAAAGTAACCGAGATATTTGGGAGATAGACCTATATTTTAAGTTTTGTGAAAATCGGATACAAATTGTGACCTGTAGAGTGGAAAAAAAGAAAATGTGGACGCACTTGGGTTTTCTACATTAAGTGTGATTTTCTCATATCGGTAGTAAGTTTTCAGTTGAAACTTGTATTTGATGCAAAAAACTTCAATCGTTATTTAAATTTAATTAATAAGTAGAGCTTCGAATTTGCATAATCCGAAAAGCAAAATTGACTAATTAAAATTAGATTCAGTCCCCCTGTTGCGATAGACGCCTTTAGAGCATTATTATCCAGTCTTACATTTTCTTGTATAACCAGTCGTGCGTAAACACAATCAATTCATCGACCGACTTGGTATTATTAATAGTCTCAAGTGACCAAACTTGCAGAACGAGTTTTACCATAAAGCTGGTTTCTATTGTTATGAATAAAAAGAAGCATGTCTATTTTTAGCCACAATACTCTAACGGGCGAGAAAATAACGTGGGGATGGGCAAGCACTAGTATACAGGTGCTAAACATTGGATTTATCAATTTACACGGGACCGGTGAAGGGGGATCTATTTCTACTCTCCTCCCGAATAAAGAAGGGGACCAGGAATTATACGTTATTGATGCATTAAAGATAGGTATGTATATACAATATATATTATAGATCTACCTGATTGTTTATGATCACCGTTTATAACAGGTAGATTAGATGGACGTATGGTATTCTAGGTAGGTTGACAACACCATTATAGATCCATTAGTTAATTTAATCGACAGTTATTTGATTAAATAATATATCAAATAAATAAACTTTGATGGGAACATACGTACATTGTTAGTTTGTGTCTTCTGCTGGTAGATTAAGCTTTGTAAATATAAATCGTTATTTAGTTGATATTATTGATCTTTCGACAAGACAATACATGCCTTTATTTTCTAAGTTTCGTCTTGTCTAAAGGAACCTACAAATCAAGAATGGCAAGAATAACCAAGTTGTTATTATAACAACTGATTTATAAAATAATTTAGATTAATTATTTAGCAAATTATATATATTGAAATTGGTCACATGGTCTAAACAATTAAAGTCTACAGATTATAATATGTAAGTTCCCAGATATCATCCAACTCTTGAAATTGGCGGATTTTATTTTGTTGAAAAATCTTTTTATAATACTTAATAAAATTATGGCATATTCGTAGCCAGGGTCGGCTTTATTTGTACAATTGGAATGATTATATAGTTTTGTTGTTCAACATGGCAATATTTAAATTTGATTCACGCCTTTACCACGCCCTGGGTTAATTTGTTACACCTTTTGGGTTTGCTTTCCTAGGGAATTATATAACGTCGATCTGTTATTGAATTAAGATGTAACATTTATAAGTAATTATTTAATTCCAAAATATCGTTTGAAAATTACTGTGCAATCGTGCATTATTTTTTGGTGTATAAATCGGTAGATAGAGTATAAACAGTAGCCATATTATGATAGTCATATCTCATATCGAGGCAAACAAGAATTATCGTCTGCTTATTTCACACCCAGATAACGGTGTATCAAGTAATACATAAATGTTTAATGTTACATAATTTTCTATTTGAATATATATTATGAAATATATAATGTAAAATAATTTAAACAATTCCAAGTTCTATGATCCACAAAAATAAATACTTTTTCTTCGGCCATATGGGACATATACCCTGAAATATCAGAAACATTTTGAGGGTGGGGTCATTTGTTTTACCTTATTTTTCTTTAACCAAGTATATTTACAAACTATATACTGATTGGTGTGTGTGTGTAGGGTGGGGTCATTTGTTTTACCTTATTTTTCTTTAACCAAGTATATTTACAAACTATATACTGATTGGTGTGTGTGTGTGGTGTGGGGTGGGGGACCCCCCCCCCCCCCATTCAAGTTGGAATATTTGATAAGGCCTGTAAACGCGTATTTTTTATTTTTTTTTTTTTATTTTTTTATTTTTAAGCTTTGATTCAATATTTTAATTTGAGAAGAGAAAATATAGCTGCGAACATATCCCCCACTCCCTATCAGTAAGGTTCATTTCTATTTATTTGATATTATTTTTCAGTAAAATATGCATCGTGTTTTGATTTTGTGTGTGTTCTGTGTGGCGTCATGCTTTTCACAGCAGCTAGCAGAGCTGACGTGCAGTGCTACTCGTAGCATGGTAGATGTTGAAATGACAGGCGCTGCTGCTGTTATAAATGGAATATTTTCGATTAGAAGACCAGGAACTAATGGATATGGGTGTGGGGAACCTGCGGAAGGTAAGTTTATCAGAGTTAATTAAAACATAATTAATAAACAGCTTTGATATAAGCGATTTCAATTTCTGCTTCTATTCCAGCATAATTCTGGCGGGAAAGTGACGTCGGGTTTCCGTCGTTTCATTCGATGAATATATGAGTAGGCCCTATACCATTCAAGCCCGTAGCCAGAGGGGGGGCCAATGCCCCCCGGAAAAATTTTTTGCCCCCCCCCCCCGAAAAAAAAATTGCCGATCATAGCTCTAAAATACCTACTGTAGACTGTGCCCCCCCTAAAAACTTCACTGCCCCTCCGAAGCTAGCAAGCTTGCTACGGGCCTGATGCCATTCTAGCTCCCAGGATTTAATGTAATTATTAGAACCTTTAAGAATAAAAGTAATCCTTCTAATTACTCACACAATTGTTTTGAATCAGTATGCTCTATATACCCTATATACACGAGAACTGTTTGATCGTTGGCAACGTGGAAATTACAGGTGGACAGTTTATAGAAAAACTTTTATTTTTATTTTTACAGATTTGATGCAAATTTATGAAGCTGCTCGTTGGACCCTCAACAGACTCAATGCAAGAAATTTTGTACCTGGAATCAAAATAGGTATCATCATATTCTCTACATGTAGCCTATATTGGATTGGTGTAGGCCTACCTAAAGTGAAAACCATTAATAGTTTAAACCTGTGCTATTTATAAAATTTACACACTTTTAATATTCATTAACTTTAGACTATTTATTGATTAGCATGAGAATACTGTTTCAAATTCTGTTTTCCTGCTTGTTGAACCTAGTTGCCATAAAAAAGTAATTTTAACTGCTTAAAATAATTTTAACTGTTTAAAAAAAAAAACTGTTTAAAAAAAAAAGATTTAACTATTTAAAAAAAAAAGAATAACTTTTTAAAAAGATAATTTTAGATTTTAACTTTTTAAATCAATCATTTTGGACTTTAACTTTTTTTAAAAAAATAATTTTGGACTTAAACTTTTTAAAAAAAATAATTTTCTTTTAGGTATGCGGGCATATGATGATTGTATGTCTTCACAAGTTGCGCTGAAGGCTGCTACAGATGCTTACCCACAATACACCATTCCTAGCACATATTGTAGTGCTCAAACACCTATTAATTTGGGTGAGTGTTATCGTTAAAATATTAACTGTATTATAATTATGTGGTTATATGTCAGAGATTGAACTCCTGAGATTAGTGGCAATTAGGGCCCAGAGGGCTCTCTCTTGAGAAAATTTGGAAAAATCAGGGTATCAGTGGTGATTTGCAGCACATATCTGGATATGAATATAACATTCAATTTCATCAGCTACAACCTGACTACACTGAACGCAACAAAAAGCTCGGATTTACATGTTCCATAGAAACATAAATATAAGGGGAAATATTTTGTTTTGTAATTTTACAACAATAATATAACCAATTTTAGAGAAATGATTGGATGACGTTTAAATGCATTCAATAATTATACATCCATCATTTCCATTTTCTTTCTGCTATTTTCTTTAGATCCTTCTCTTGCTTTTGGAGAAACCAGGAGACAATTGAAAAGGGTTTGTCCGTCTGTCTTGTCAGTCTGTCGAACTTTTTGGGATACAATAACTATGTATCTAATTGGGGTAGAATGTTGGAAGTTGGTGTAGATGTTCATTAGCTGAGTGTCTTGTCTGAGTATGATGCTGAGCAGTTTCTGATAAAGCTAAGCAGTAATTATCAATATGACTGGTGGAGATGAAACATTGTGTATAGTTTCATTGCATCAAAATCTTGTCTTAGTTTGATAGTGAGCATTTACTGTTCAGGTTAAGCAGATATAAAAATAAATAAAACCAAGTACGAACAATCCAAACCATAAGACAGAATTCGAAGTCCTAAAAAACGTTATAGGCAAAATAGTGTATTCAAGCAAAATAGTGTAATCAGCAAATGGACTGCTCCTCGTGTACAAAATACACAAGGCATAACAAGAAAAATGCCCAAGTGATTACTGATGGGCGTCAAATTTTTATTTTAGGATTAATGTAGGATACTTCAGTCTCAATGTTGACTTGTTTTGAGAGAGAGAGAGAGAGAGAGAGAGAGAGATGGGGTTTAACATCCACTCAACACAAACTCGGTCATTCTGGAACTACATATGGTCCAATTTTGTTTCAATAATTTGCTTGCGCAAAAGTTGGACAGGCGACATACAGACTTTAAAATCTAACGCACAGACATTAAACCATTTGGCCACCCAACCCCCTGTTTTGATAGATCATATTATTCAAAATTAAAGATCAATAGTTTTTCCCTGTTAATACATTGTATTGTTTATCTATTTTTAGGTATTCTTGGACCACTCACAAGTCCCTCAACTCTGCCAGTTAGTGCTTTCATGGGAAAATTTATGGCTACCGTCATCTCCCCACGAGCTGCTTCGTCAGCTCTCAGTAATAAAAATATTTATCCCTCATTTTTACGCACAACTCCTTCTGGAAAAGCTCAAGCTACGGTAAATATTAATTCTTAATGCTACACATTTAGGGAGCATGGTAATTAGACTTGATGTGTTCATCTAGTTTATCTCACTCCAAATACAAATTTTCCTATTCAGATAATGTTCAAAACAGAAACTGACAATTTTTGATAGTACTATATGGACCAAGATCTGAACATATGACATCATCACCGCCATCTTGGAATTGTGAACTCATATCAAAAATCAAAGTCTGTCAATTGATGGGTACAAGTTTCATGAATTGACGAAACCTTAGGCTTTTTTCGAGGGGGTTTGCCCTTCAAGAAGAAGAACAAAATGAGAGGAGCTTGTGACCCAGTTACTAATCCAAACATAGTATAGTAAATAGACCAAAGGCACTGAACATTTCTAGTCCTTTGGATGTGATGAAAACCGAAGTCCTGTGTACATGTTGGTCTACACATAGAAGGACCCTTGACTGTTGGAAATCATAATAAGAGTAAGACGTAACACTGCTGCCTAGTCAAAATTTACTTCAAGTCTACAGTAGCCCAGTTGGTGCAGAAAAGTAGGACGTTTAACCCCGTTTTATTTTATATAATCTGTTAATAGTGCTAAGATTTGATTTCTCCTTTTCTCAGGCAATGGTTAAAATTCTACAGCATTTAAACTGGAAGCGAGCAATAATAGTATATTCAGATGATGCGTATGGACAATCTGGAATGGAGGAGGTACTTAAAGCAGCTCATGCAGGAAACATCTGTATTACGCAAGCTATCAGCCTACCTGTTACAGGAACCGCAGGAGATTATGCCGCCAAAATAAATAATGCCAATAAATACAATACAAAAGCAGCCATTTTCTTTGGATCTAACCTGGAAGCTCAGAAATTATTGGAAGGCTTAAATGATCAAACATCACTGGGTGATTTACAGTGGATATATAGTGATTTCTCTCCAACAGCTACTATACCTGCTACTAATAGGTAAGATTATCAAAAACATCCTAACTCTTGAAAGATAAACTTATAGCTTCCAGTTGAATAGGTTGGTAAAAACTGTTTTAAAATCTGAAATTCTTCATTTAATTTTTATAATTAGACACATTCACAGGTTCTCTGCAATATATATGTAATCTTTTTTTGAAATTCTATTCCTGCCTGTTAAATCGCACCAGGTAATCAGTTCACATGTTCAAGGCTACATAGTGATGCTAAAACCGATCTTGTGGTGTACTAGATGAATTGCTTACTGTCACATGCTGTGGAAGAAGGAGACTTAAAGTAGCTAAGTCTCTAACTCAATATCATCCAAATTCTTCAACATTGAAAACATTTGTCAAATTAAATCAACATTCATGTTGTGATCTTATCGGAAAAAGATGGGCTTTTGATATCCAATATTTAAGACAAAATAAACATTTTACCATTGGTACAGTTGTATCAAGAGACTCGAGGGACGAGGCTAGACACATTGCACCAAATCAAACGGCGTATGTAGACTGGAATAACCAGACGCTAGAAATTTGCACTCGCTTGAGACTGCTGGCTTATTTCGCCGAACATAACTGATTTGAAATTGGAGTAAAAACGGAAACCATTGAATGTAAATCAGTTTATATACATTCATATTACAGTATTATATGCGTTGCGACCCACTTTTGTCAATTTCTAGGTCCCAAATGTTAGCGATTTAGCTCCTTTAAGTTATGGCAAAGTGTCAATCTAATGGCTTCTTTGCTAAACTGCTATAATTTCTATACTAAGCTGGTATAGTTTCTATACTAAATTGATATGATTTCTATACTAAAGTTGGTATAGTTTCTATAAGCTACTATAGTTTCTATAAGCTGGTATAGTTTCTATACTAAGTTGATATGACTTCTATACTAAGTCGGTATGATTTCTATACTAAATTGGGAGCCACAGTGGCTGGGTGGTTAAGACGCTGGCTCGCTAGCCAGGAGGTTGGGTGTTCGATTTCTGCATTGGCCGAGAAAGTTCATCTGGATTTTCCGGCGTGGTTTCCTTTTGACAGTGGCGCAGAACGAAGGGCCTGACAAGGACAGCTGCCTAGTCCTTCGGACGATACGAAAAACGAGGTCCCGTGTATACATTGGAATGCACTAAAAGATCCCTCGGCAGTTGGAATTCGATATAAGAGTAGGCGATAGTGCCGCTGCCTGGGAAAAATTTCCCTCATAGCACACTGTATAGTGTATGCCCATATTCATTAGCCCAGTATAGGAACTAAATTGGTATGACTTCAATATTAAGTTTATACTGAGTTGATATGACTTCTATACAAAGTTAGTATAGTTTCTGTACTAAGCTGGTAGTTTCTATATTAAGTTGATATGAGTTTTATACTAATTAAGCTGGTAGTTTCTATATTAAGTTGATATGACTTTTATGCTAAGCTGGTATAGTTGCTATACTAAGCTGGTATAGTTTCTATATTAAGTTGATATGACTTTTATTCTAAGCTGGTATAGTTGCTATACTAAGCTGGTATAGTTGCTATACTAAGCTCATATAGTTTCTATACGTAGTTAGAATGGCTACATTCCTAAATTTTAGAAATTGCTATCTAGAACCATTTGACTTCATATTGTTAATATATTATCGTATTTAAACTATTTTTCAGTTATGTAAGAGGAAGTATGGTCATTTTAAAAAAAGAAACAATCATCTCTGAATTTGAAACTTATTTTAAGACTCTTTACGGAACAAGTCCTGCTGAAAATCCATGGTATAGTGACTGGTACAAAACAAGCTACACTTATAGACAGAATGTCTACGTAGACACAACCGTGAAGGCTGTCTATGCCTATGCTGTGGGACTTCGTGATGCCCAGAGACAAAATTGTAGTGCAGGCAGTGGTGCTTGCGACAACTTAAAGAGAATGACCCCGACTGATTTACATGAATTTTTAAAGAACGTTGACTATACCTTTACCGCTGCAGATGGTATGAATGCCATGATTGGACAAAAAATATCATTTGATGTAAATGGTAATCCACCAACGGCAGAATATGCTATATTTAGTTATAACAATGTTGATGGAACGTACAGATTCCAAGAAGTAAGTCGTTTTATGAAGAACTATTTTTCAAAACTTTTTATAGTTTAATTAGTTTTACTCTTTACGATCTTAGAATCTGTAAGTTTTTATAAAATAAATCTTTGGAGCATTAGAGTACAAAACAAAACAAACATTAAATATAAAGTGGAGTCTGTATTCAGCAACCACTCATGGGAATTTTCATGACTAAACGCTTAACATGACTTCTTAAGAAAATCTGTGTTTGTTAGTTTTGATAGCAAGTACTTCGATGGGATGGTATCAACAATTGAGTGGACGATGTTTTGTTAAATTTATAACTAAAACAGTGACCACTGACTGCGTTGAATGATTGACCATTTATTAAAGAGATGAAACCAAAGAATTTCTATAAGGGGGAATTTATTGTGACCACTTAAATAGCCATGTCACTGAAACATAGTGGTTGCTTGTACAGATTCTGCTGTATATGGTTGACATCATTCAGTCAAATTTCCATATATATGACCCCTATTAAATCTGTCAAATCTATAAAGAGTGGACTTTATCGATTGTAGAATAGGAAAAAAAAAGCAAAACATCAGATTCACCAGATTGTTTCTGATACCATTAATTATATTTCATAGTGTTTTATAAATTATATGCTCTCATTGGTGTATGTTTTGTTGACTGGCAACACATCTTTTAAGTATTTATATCTAATTAAAAACAAAAAATTAAAACTTTCTGGTCTGAAATAAAAGACCTGAGACCAAGCCATAATACTCTTACTCAATTTAACCTAGAACTCGTGCAAAAAAATTGCTTCAACATTTGTTTTTTGATTATGTTGATGTAATATGTTAAAAGGAAAATATCGGTACCCTAACCCTAGTAACAAACTTTTAAGTCTGGGTAAAACTTGCATAAAGCAAGAAAAAGTTTCATGGCCGTGGTCCCCATTGTAATCTATAATACAGTGATCATTTTGAAATAATTAATTGAACACAAGGATAATGGTTTAACCCTTCATCACTTAGTCCCATGAACCACCCCATCACGTGCACAGCTGTGGTGCCCGCAACTAATAAATGGTACTATAATATGGAAAACTATTCACATATCTCAGGCAGTTGAGACGTTTAAGTAACAGCAATTTCATTCTGTCTGGTATTAATGTATCAATTTTCTCTAATTTGGTGTAATCAATATTTACATGTACCAAGAGCTAAAGGGTTAATGGTTAACTAATTTATTTCTAGGCTGGTAGCTACAGAGATGGTACAATCACTTTAGACAGCAACAGATTGAGATTTTACAGCAACGATAGAACTACAGCCCTGACTTCAACACCTACATACCCCTGTCCAACCACAGGCTGTTCTAATTGTTTCTTACCTACTCAAGAATTAGATTTTACGTATATAAAAGGAGATCTTGCCTTGTTTACATTGGCTAGCACCCACTTTCCAGGACGTGAACCATTAACTTGTGATTCAATTTCTGATATGGGTGCCCAGTTACATCTGGCCTTGAAGTATGCTCAGCAGAATATTAAAACCAAATTCCCTGACAAATTGCGAGGAATTGATCTGGGTATGTTGATTGCCAACCCTTGTTATAATGGTTTATCGGCAGAAATCTTTGCAGCCAACTTTTTCGGAGGACGGAAGGTATATCGTGATGCCACACAGTCGATCATAGATCCAACTCTCGTAAGGGGTGTCCTGCAAACATCTTCAGCAGCCGTTACAAAGCGAGTCAGTCCGGTAACTAGCCAGTTTATGCTACCAGATTTGGGATTGCCAACATCCAATGAATTCAGCAACAAAGATATGTATCCATTATATACTCGGGCTCACCCCTCTGATGCAGTCGTCCATTCTGTGATAACTTCAACATTTCAGAGATTTGGATGGAATCACGTTCAAGTTGTATACAAATCGGATGACTATCACATGCGTCAGAAAGAGGACTTCAGAATGAAAGCTGGCCAGGCGTCCATTTGTGTCGTAGCTGAGTATACTTTTGATGAATCTAGTGACGGTTTGATTGAAAAATTACGACTCCATCAACCTCAAGCTAGCGTTGTCGTAGTAATGGGCTTGTCAGCTGACATAAAAAAATTACTAGGAGGACTTAGAAGAAATAATTCTGTGGGAGAATTTCTACTCGTTGGCTATTCCTGGGCATTTGATAAAGATGCCATTTCTACTTATGAAGCTGAAGCTGCAGGAAGTCTGATAGTAACTCATTCTTCAAATCTGAGTCCAGGATTCAACCAATACCTGGGAGGATTTACCTCAGAGCAAATTCAAACTGATTCTGTATATTCTGCGTGGTACCAATATCTCAATGACTGTTACCTGGAAGCTTCGAATCCCAATGGTTACAGAAGTCCTTGTACTCAACCACTACAACCTATTAATTCAGCATCACCAAATTACCAACCATCCTCTTATGTACCATTTGCTATCAATTCAGTTTATGCTATGGTGGACGGTCTTCACAGAATATTAGTAGAGCAATGTGGTGTTAATTATAACGGAATCTGTACGGCGTTCCGAAGTAATGCTACCGGTCAGATGTTATATGATAAACTACAGAATGTAGATATACTCGATGATGCTAATAATCGATATGTAATCAATAACGGAAAAGTAGAAACTAATTTTATGGTCACATCCTACAGACCAAGTAATACACCAGTGAAGGTAAGAATGACCATAGTCTGTTTTCTCACACAGCTGTCTAGTCCTTCGGATGAGACCAAAAACCGAGGTCCCGTGTATACATTGGAATGATTGTAAAAGATCCCTTGGCAGTTGGAATTCGATCTAAGAGTAGGTGATAGTGCCGCTGCCCGGGCAAAATTTCCCTCATAGCACACTATATGGCTTATGCCCGTCTTCATTAGCCCAGTATAGGAGCAGAAGAGTAGGACGTTAAACCCCATTTCATTTCATTTCTGTTTTCTCACATCATTATAAAAATAGACAGGTATGTCAACGAGAAATTTCTTTTTGTCCCCAAACTTTTGGAGAAATCTATTAATATTGGTCCATCTGTCTGTCTCTCACACTTTTTAGAACACTATAAGCCTGTTTCTAATTAAGATAGAATGTTCAAATTTGGTGTAGATTAGGTGAATGTGTTGACTGAGTTCAATGATGATCATCTTCTGCTTAAAGTAGCTAAGTCTCTAACTCAATATCATCCAAAGTCTTCAACATTGAAAACACAAATTTTTGTCAATTTCAACCAACATTGATGTTATGATCTTACCGGGAAATAATAGACTTCTGATATCCAATAATTTAAGACAAAATAAACATTTTACTATTGTTACACGAATCGTTTACCATAATGCGTTTCAGTGCCATATGTAACAAGGGACTTGAAGAACGAGGCACACATGTCATATTCCTATCTGGAGAGCATGTGCAATAAATACTGTGGGTGTAGACTGGAATAACCAGACGCTAGAGATTGCCATTCGATTGAGATTTCCGGCGTATTCTGCCAAACATAAGTGATTGGAAATCACAGTAAAAACAGAAACAATTGAATGTAAATCAATTTATATGCATTCATATTACATTTGTGTCAATTTCTAGGTCCTAAATATTAGCGATTTAGCTCCTTTAAGTTAAGCAGAGATGAGCAATTTCATCTGTCGATGCTTTGGGAAACAATAATGAGTATTTTCTGGTCAGGTTGAGTAGTTTTATTGTGCAATGCTTTATGAAAAGATAGTTAATGAACGCATTTATTTATTTTGTGTTTGAAGATAGGGTACATTAAGCTCACTCTTGGGTTGTTGTTTTTGGGAATGGGTCTATTGAAGTCTGTTAATCTGCTAAACAAATCTGATCCCATGATTCTTGTATTTTTGTCCCACTGTTAAAGAACCCTGCACCAAGCAAATTAATGAAATGCAGATAAACAGTTTGTTATCTCAGAGATTACCTGCATTTGTTAACATCCAGCCCTCTTTCCTGTCAGGGGGTCACGGTGGCTAAATGGGTATGACACTGATTTGCTAGCCTGGAGGTCGGGTGTTCAATCCCTGCATTGGCCTAAGAAAGTTCATCGTGATTTTCCTGCATAGCTCCCCCTTGTCAGTGATGCTGGACGGAGGGCCTTACAAGGACAGCTGTCTAGTCGTTTGAGTAGGCCATAGTGCCGCTATCCAGGCAAAATTACTCTCATAGCACACTGTATGGCGTATGCCCATCTTCATTAGCCCAGTTCAGAGCAGAACTGTAGGACATTAAACCCCATTTCATTTCACTTCTTTCCTGTCAAAATTTCTTTCCTGTATATCAGGAATTCTGTATATTTATAGTAAAGGGCACTACTAAGGGCACCATTTTTGGTAGAGATCCGTGGTGGCTCAGTGCGTAAAAGACAGTGACTCGCTAACCTGGAGGTCCCGTGTTAGATCCTGGTGCTGGTCAACAAAGTTCATCAGGATTTTTCTGCGTGGTTCCCCCGTGTGGGTGCAGGATGGAGGACATGGCAAGGGACAACATGTAGTCTTTCAGATGGGACAAACAAACGGGGTCTCGGGTACACATTAGTTTGTACGTAAAACAGTTGGAATTCAATATGAGAATAAAACTTCGCTCATAGCACATCGTATGGCGTATGCACGTCTCCATTAGCCAAGGGGGGGGGAGGTGGATGGGCGAATGGTAAGCACGTTCGCGCTGTATCATAAGGATTCCCAGGTTGTAAGTAACAAGGAGTTGTGTCGCCTGTCCAACCTCGTGGGTTTTCTCTGGGCCCTTCGGTTTCCTCCCACTGCTAAAGACCCCTACGCTCATGCGAATCATTGAAATGAAATTGAACCATGTGTTAATCCCGAAATGGCCTAGTTGTTTGTGTCGAGGGGATGTTAAATTCTCTCTCTCTCTCTTGGAGTAGAACAGTAGGATGTTAAACCCTATTTCATTTCATTTGTGGTAAAATTGGGAATCTATCTGATCCAGGTATTGGATATAGATTTACATTATGTCAGAAGTCAATAAACAAAAGTTGAAATTCAATATTATATATTTTACAGGTAGCAGATTATGTGACAACAACCGGTCAGATCACCAATTTTGATAGGAATAATTTACAGCTTCCCCCAAATATGGTTGTTAACTCTCAATGTACTGGTCCATGTCTACCCTGTCAATATTTATATCATCATCAACCATTTATTTACACACCTGGAGATGTTGTGATTGGTGGAATGTTTGGCATCAGCAATCCAGGGACTCAAGGACCTTATCAATGCGGGGCCGTAAAAATACAAAATGGATTTCAGTTTACGTCTGCCATGCTTTACGCACTACAAAAAGTAAATAATGGAGAAGCACCGGTTAGTTTACGAGGATTAAAGGTTGGAGGGTTGGCTGGAGATCATTGTGGTAAACCAACACGTCCTGCCGGTATTCTGTCGAATATTTATTCTGGATTATACGATTCAAGCTGGAGAAGAAATGAAATGTATCCAGGATTGATGCCGGAGAAGATCGCAGCCTGGATGACAGATACTACCCACAGTACACAAAAAGCATCGGAACTACTTCAGCCATTAAATATTCCCATTATCAGTCCTTCAGCGACGGCCAGTTCTTTGAAAGAAATCCGAACATTTTATAGAACCATTCAAGGAGAGGACGCCAGTGCCAGCGCTCTTTTAAAACTGAGCAAATTACTTGGATTTAGTTATCTTCAAGCAGTCGTATCTGATAACACAGAAGGTCATATGTCATTGGCTACCCTTAAAGCAGCCGGTACACAGGAAGGCGTCTGTGTCATTAGTTCCCATGTAGTTAAAACTGGAAATAATTTTACAACCATTGTTGAAAATTTAGTCTCAAGTACCTCCCATGTTGTTGCCGTGTATTTGACTAATCAGGAAATGATTGAACTACTGCGTGCTAAGTCTAATAACGTCGAAGCCAGGAATCTCATATTTATTACCACTCGACAATATTCAGGTATTGGTTCTGCGGCCAGTAATATGCTAAATGTTCAAATCAGGAATAATCAATTAACAGACTACAGAAATTACTTAGATAGGATGACCACACAGGGTTATCCAGGAAATCACTTCTTTGCTGATTATTACAGCGAGCTGGAAAACTGCAACATGCCAGGCGTTTACAAAAGCGGAAGACTTCCATGTGGAACGAACTTGAATCTTGGTGCTAGATATATTCAAGATAACTACGTTCTTTCTACAATAAATTCTGTGTATTCTATAGTTGGTGCTATGGATGCCACATTAAAAGAGATCTGTGGAGAGGATTACAACTCAATTTGCAGCAACTATTCAAACAACCCCAACATCAATGCCATCATCCAGCAGAAACTTAATACTTTATCCTTCCAAGATCCCAGTGGCCATGATTTTAGATTTGTGGATCGTGAAGGAAATCTACCTTTTGATGTTCTGCGTTATGATGGCACCAAATACAATGTGGTAAGTACAGCACCTATTACTTCATACCAATTTTAAAATGTACTAGCCTACTCAGGGGCGGATCCGGGAATTTTTGCAGGAGGGGGTTTGCCAGGTTCCTGGGAAAATGTATCTCCCAACTTGGATTAAAGTAGTTAAGTCTCTAACTCAATATCATTCAAAGTCTTCGACATTGAAAACACAAATTATTTGTCAATTTAAATCAACATTGATGTTGTGATCTTACCAGGAAAAGATGGGCTTCTGATATCCAATATTTAAGACAAAATAAACATTTTACCATTCGTGTACCATAATGTATTTTAGCGCATTAATAACTAGGGACTCGAAGAACGCGGCTAGACCTATTCCACAAGTCATGTCATGCGCAATAAATACTATCAGTGTAGACTGGAATGACCAGACACTACAGATTGCCATTCGATTGAGACTTCTGGCATATTTTACCGAACATAACTGATTTGAAATTAGAGTAAAAACGAAAACAATTGAATGTAAATCAGTTTATATACGTTCATATTACATTATGATATGCATTGTGACCCATTTGTGTCGGGGGGGTTTGATGGCCGAATGGTTAGCATGTAGGTGCTGTATCATAAGGTCTGTCATTGGGTCAACTGGCGTGGTTTCGAATCCCTGGTTGTACGTGACAAGGAGTAGGGTCGCCTGTCCAACCTCGTGGGTTTTCTCCGGGTCCTCCGGTTTCCTCCCACTGCTAAAGACCCCTACGCGCAAGCGAATTACAGAAATAAAATTAAACCATGTGTTAGTCCCGAAATGATCTAGTTTGTTTCGAGTGGACATTAAACCCCATTTCTCTCTCTCCCATTTGTGTCAATTTTTAGGGCCAAAATATTAGGGATGTAGCTCCTTTAAATAGGATTAAATATCAACCCATCAACATATTTTGGTTTAAAGAGTGATCTTTGTGTTTTATTGTTAGTTTTTGTTGTATATGTGTTAGGATTGTTGATTATTTTAGGTTGGAGGATCAAGAGGAGCCACTATACAGTATGATTCAACTTTAACATCAAATTATCAAAATATAAAGGCTCAATGTTCAGAAACCTGTGTTGAATGTATACAGAAAGGTGTTAATTTTACCTATATACCTGGTGATGTCATGTTTGGAGGTAAGTTGTATATGTAATCTATATTCCTGTTATGTAATTTTTGAATATTTTGATATTGTGAGTTGAAAACTGATGTCATCAGCGGACATCCATATTCAGTAGTCGGTGACCGTCCATTCCAGAATTATGACCCTTTTTTCCCAGACACCATGTGAACCCAATCAAGGCTACAGTTTTGAACAGATATTTAGTGTTCCATGACCTTTCATTCTGGATTTAACCCCCATTTTCTGAAAACCTTCTGAATGTGATAAAGGCTGTAGTTATTAACAGATTTTTTTCAAATTTGGTATGAAGCATTAGGGCCATGAGGAGATGAACCCTATTGATATTCAGAACTAGTAATTGTCAACTGAAAAGGTTGGAAACAGAACTGAAAGATAAATTTGATCAATTTACTATAAACAATGCTAATTTTAAGCCAGGGGAAGCCATATTGACATATTTGGTAGGACTCATGACATCACCAATGTATTCTTTAATATGTGGTTATTTATCTTGTTAGAATATAGAAACATTCAACTTTAAAGCAGATTTATTTGACCCATGTATAGGGTGACCCATGTACTCTACAGAAATAAAGTCCACCGCTGATAGTTCGAGACTACCACTGAAGCGTGCACATTCGCTGTGCCGAGACCAACTTTCTGACAGTATGATACTATAAATAGCCGTGGCACGTGCAATTCTCTACAAATCTATCAACTATTACAGCCGTAAAAAGTTTATTGTTGACGATTTTGAATAGCAGTGAAATTAAGCTTCTTGGTTATTACAGCAGATTTAGAAATTACGTTTGTTTCATTTTTTAAATCGCTTTATTTATTAACTGTACCGTTAAGAGCTGCATCTTTTGGTTTAGTACAAATAATATCTCTGAATCACTCGGGTTAGACAGGAACATGATACTAGCAGTAGTTTCATTTTACTTTTACAAGGTTCTTAAAACGATTGTTGAGCTACCTAACGTGCTTATTTCTAAATTCAATTTCTTGTTCTAGCTTTCTGTTATGTTTCGTAAAAAAGTAGTCTTGATTATCCCGACCTGTCAATCAGATGTAGAATGGTCGATAGACTGGTTAAGCGAGACTAATTTCAAAACAAGGGCACATAACCTATCTTTTTACTCAAAGGTGTCTGGATGTTATGGACGATGATTAATGGTCATAGCTTATTAAGTACAACATGATCGTTTATTTAGTGACTATAATTGGGTGAAACTGATTTGAGGCTTGGCATATATATAAATATTGTGGCGTAATTGTCGAGATATATGGAGATATGTGGAGATATTTATTTATGGTGGGTCACCCTACCATGTATGCATAATTAATTGTTGTAAATAATCACTCCTATGTTCTGTTTGTGTTTAAAATCAGTTATTTCTTGAAGCAGAAAGTGGGGGTTGGATGACCAAAGGGTTAGCACGTGCGCTGTATCATAAGATCTGTCATTGAGTCAAACTGGCATGGTTTCAATTCCCTGGTTGGACGTGACGAGGAGTAGGGTCGCCTGTCCAACCTCGTGGGTTTTCTCCAGGTCTTCCGGTTTCCTCCCACTGCTAAAGACTCATACGCGCAAGTTTATTATTGAAATAAAATTGAACCATATGTTAGTCCCGAAATGACCTAGTTTGTGTTAAGTGGACTTTAAACCCCATTTCTCTCTCTTTCTGAAGCAGAAACAGCTTTGACATGATGTTATATTATGATATTTCAGGTGTTTTTGATGTTCATAAGAGATCCCTTTTACCACATATTTGTGGTGATATCAACACTCTACATGGTTTCCAACTTCTAGAAGCTTTCCACTACGCCATAAACACAGTCAACAATAAAGAGGGAATGTTCAGAAATATATTAAATGGTGTCAAAGTTGGTGGAATTGGTCTCGATGGTTGTCAGAGTGCCATAAGAACAGGCTACATGGTATCAAATATCCACAACGGTCAGTTTACCCTCACTCGGAACGGAGAAACAGTCAATCCTAAGGAAATTGATGCATATATCGGAACATATTCCAGCGATAATTCTATCTATCTGTCTCGTATCTTGAATGATCTTAAGATACCTCAAGTTAGTTATGCTTCATCATCATCTGAGCTTAAAGACAAACTCAGATATCCTTACTTCTACCGAACAGTTCCTGCAGACAACAAACAAGCAGACGCTATGGCCTCTTTCTTAGACAAATACAACATCCGCTATGTTCAAGTGCTTTACACTAACGATAGCTACGGAAAACTAGGTGCAAAGATGTTTGAAGAAATTGCAAGTAGAAAGAGAATTTGCGTAGCTCAGAAGGTGGCATACCGAGAAGAGGGTGTGGTATCGGAAGAGGTGTCCAATGAAGTTGTTACTCTCCTCCGACAGAAACCACTGGCCAACACCGTTATTGTTTTTGCTGGGTCAAGTTACATCAATGCTTTATTAAGAGCATTGGATCGTGTACCGGGTGAAAAATTTGATTTTAAGTTTGTTGGATCAGACACATGGGGCTACAGCGAAGATGCTATTCTGGGATCCGAGAAGTATGCCACTGGGTCGGTCACCCTTAGTTTGGAAGCGGAGGACTTGAAACCATTTGATGATTACATGTCGACCAAAACACCCCTGAACTCGCAAGGAAACCCCTGGTTTAGTGAATATTATGAAAATATTTGGGACTGCTACTTGAATATACCAACCATGAAATACTCTGGTCCCTGTCGCGTAAATGCACGTAACCTAATCACCAGCAGTCGATATACCCAGGATCCAGGAGTCTTACATGTCATAAACTCTGTCTTTTCGTCAGCTTTTGCCTTGGATATGACATTGAAAGAAATTTGTGGCGAGGGTTACACGACAGTTTGTGAAGATTATAAAAATCGTGAGGATAGAAGAGATGTGCTCCTGAGAAAATTAGACGATGTTGAATTTGTTGATTTATCAGGTTCCAAGTTTGAATTTGAAAATCGTGAAGGAAATAAAGGTTACACTCTCTATTCAATTACCAGTCAGTCTGTTACAAGTGGATATTATTATAAAAAGGTGAGGGTATAGATTAGTTTTATGAATCATATTTTTATACCACCCGTTAACAGTTGACTTTAAAGATGCATTATGTAAGATTTAAATAAAGAGCCTGTCATTCTTGCTATTATAGTTCAAAATTAGACAATGAAAAATAAATATATTAAAAATTTCACTCACATTACTTTACTCTGAGCGAAGTTATGACTGTTTGAAAATATTATAGCATAGGTCATTTATTATTGTAGCAATGGTACTGGATAATCATGACTTGGTCTCATTTGTCATTGGTCAATTTTTAAATGTCATGGGCATCCTAGTCCATTTAAATGTCTAAATAATAATTTATGTAACATTTGAGGCAAGACTAAAGACATGCAATAGGCAGGTTTAGCTCTTACATAATGCATCTTTCACTGTAGACTTCTGTTAAGAACACACTATAGGGCTTGTTGAATTTTTTTTCAAATTCGCAGTGATTATTCATGCGGTAATAAAGAAGAATCCCCTCTTCCCATTTACATTCATAATCTTTGAGATGCATTTAGTAACTGGATAGAGCAATAAACTATAACACATACTTATGGAAAAACAGCTACTTATTTATTTGGGCGATGTTTTGAAGAGTATTCTCTCAACGTTAACAAGCTAATACAGTAATACAAATATTATGAGGCTAATTTATACAGAAAAGCTATAACAACAATTCCTGAAACAACATAGGACAACAACAAGATCAAAGGAGACAACAACATCATTCCCAAAGGTATATCACCTGCTTTGATCTTGTTGTTGCCCAAATAAATAAGTAGCTGTTTTTCCATAAGTATGTGTTATAGTTTATTCCATTTACATTCAGTTTTCTTTTTTGATTGCAATTCATAGAGTAATTCCCCCAGTATATTTATGAAATCTTGTGAGGACGATATAGGACAGGTATCTTTGTAGACTTTTTAAAACTTGTGGGATTGATCGTTAGTGGAAAACCCTTATTGCATTTCAAAATTTGATTTCATGAAATATTGTGTTGTATTAACAGATCAACATAATATGGCCTAATGATTTGAAATAAAAACATAATTGACATATCTACCGTTTCAGAATTGATCAGTATAAGATTAATGCAAGCTAAAATAATAATAAAAATAATAAACGGTTTCTAAGACGATCTTGGTTTTATATACATTGATTATTTACAGATCAGGCTTTTGAAACAAGAAAGGGTTTTGAAACCTAAATGTGTAAATGAATGTGTAAATGCATAAAACAGCGCTAAAAAGCTTTATTAAAGTAGCTAAGTCCGTAACTCAATATCATCCAAAATCTTCGACTTTGGAAACACGATTTTTTTTGCAATCTGAATCAGCATTGGTGTTGTGATCTTACCTGGAAAAGATGGGCTTCAGATATCCAATATTTAAGACAAAATAAACATTTTACCATTGGTACTCGTGTATCATAATGCGTTTCAGCGCCATTTGTAACAAGGTGTTCAAAGAATGAGGCTAGACATATTCCACAAGTCATGTCAAACGGTGATATCATGTTCTTATTTTCAGAGCATGCGCAATAAATAATATCAGTGTTGACTGGAATAACCAGACGCTAGAAACTGACATGCGGTTGAAACTTCTGGCGTATTTCGCCGAACATAACTGATGACAATTCACAGTAAAATGGACACGATTGAATGTAAAACAGTTTATATAAATTCATATTACATTATTATATGTGTTGCGACCCATTTGTGCCAATTTCTAGGTCCAAAATATTAGCGATTTAGCTTCTTTAAACTAGAAGCATTAATTTCTGATTTTGTAAATTATTTAAAACTATATCTCTGTGTATATTCCAGATTGGCAAATATTCATCAGATGGCAATCTAGATATGCAGACTTATTCACCAGACTGGAATGGTAGCTGTGATAGAGATGAGGCATGCTCAGAATGTCCTACAGTCAGAAACCGAGGAAAACGCTTTGCTGTTAGCGGAGCAACAGAGGTCGACTCGACAACCATGGTGGCCGTTTTTGACATTCATCACAGTGGATTAGATGAATTCCGTTGTGGTGATCTTGATATTGGGATGGGATTTCAGCAATATTTAGCCTTCACCTATACACTCAGTCAGGTTGTTCAAGGTGTAGATATACGTAGCTTTGTGTTGGACACTTGTTCTAATAATCTTCGTGTTGAACAGGACATTTATAATCTATTGGCATATGGCAAACTCTGTAATTCAATTAATTTGAATGGAAGTGTTTTAGCTAATAGTGTAGGAGGTTTCGTAGTCTCAAACAACGATAATACTGAAGCAGCAGCTCGTGTTTTAAACCCCCTCGGTTTCACCTATCTTAGTCCAAGTGCAACATCAATTGCTTTTAATGACATGAATTCCTATTCTTACCTAGCCAGAACTGTACCACCACAAAACGAATTATTAAAAGTTATCCATGCACTTCTTAAAAAACGTGGGTGGGATTATGTATCTCCGTTCGTTTCATTTGACCCTGATATGAATGCTGCATACAATACATTTAAAATGATGGCAGACGAAAATAATATTTGTACAGGATCGCCATCCATGTTAACGACACCATTAACCATGCAGTTAGCCGAAAATGCTCTTAACAATCAATTTGACAACAGCCCCTCGCGAGTTATTATTCTTTTCACCACCTGGGAAGACACCAAAATTATTCTGCAGGCTGCCCAAAAGCTTGGATATCTTGATGAATATCTGTGGATTTTAACTGACAATTGGGCTATGAATATTGAGGAACTCAACCTCCCACAAGGAATGAAATTCGAAGCTGTAGCCATCAGCATTAGAACCTCTGTTGTCAATTCTTTCAGAAACTACATGAATTCTCTGACATACGACAGAACCAGACCCAGCAGAAACACACTTGACATCCCAAGAGAATGGTTTGAGGAATTTTTCCAGCGAACTCATAGATGTCATTTAGACGATGCTGTCATTCAGAGAATAGAATTTTCCAACATGTGTACCAAAAATGAGACACTTAATTTTATGAATATGAAGATGGATCAGTACATACTCAATACAATTGCTGCCGCTTACGCCAATGCTGAAGGAGTGAAACAGTTTATGACTTTATATTGTTCAGCAGGTGAAACGCTAGCCAGTTGTGTTAACAGACGGTCAGACATTAATGTTAGACAGGCCATCAGAGATCAAGTTCTCTTAGTTAAATGGAACATGGGCAATTCTGTTTCCTTAAATAAAACAGATGAAGAATTTAACGTCAATTTTAATGTCCAACAATTTTGGCATCCTGGCTATGACGTAACTAGAATTCGTGTTGATACAACTGCAAATCGTTTTGATAAGAATATGGTAAGTTTTTAAAACATTTTTGGTATCGTGGCAATACTGCTTTTGTTTCAATGGCAATACTGCTTTTGGTTCATTGTGATTAGATTACACTTTTACATTTGGTTCATCAGAATGTGCACACAAATTGGGCTTTTATTTACAAACGATATTTATTTGTAAATCCCCCTTGTTCCCCCTTGTCAGTGGTGCAAGACAGAGGGCCTAGTAAGGGATAATGTATAGTCATTCAGATGGGACAAAAAAAAAGATGTCGTGTGTACACATTGGCGTGCACATAAAATAAACCTTGACAGTTGGAATTTGTTATAAGAGTAGGCCGTAGTGCCGCTGTCTGGGCAAAATTGACACCTCATAACACACTGTATGATGCAGGAAAGTAGGCTGTTATATACCTCATTTCATTTCTTCTCATTTTAGATTGGCAAATGGGCAGAAGGTGAATTTGAATCATCATCTCAATTTAGTAATCTACGTTCACGGACCGCCATTTGTTTGAATGAAGACAGAACAGAATGTGGTTGTCCAGCGAAAGCCGAACCTATCGGTAATGGAACAGCAAGTGGTCAGTCTGGTGGAAGGAATGGAATCACAGAACCTAGAAACTGGTATTATTACAATGATGGGGCTAAATTGTACGAATGGCCGATTTGGGCGATCGTTGTAGCTGTTCTCACATGTGTTGGTCTTCTGGTATCCATAATAACTCTAGTATATCTGTTAATAGCGTACCCTGTACGAGGTGGCACCACCATACTTGGCTATATATCACTGATAGGAATCATCTTAATCTACGTCCTCAACTTCGCTTTCTTCTTCCACGCTTCCTTGGAAACCTGTACAACGAGACGTTTGGCTATGGGTATTGTTTACGCCATAGTGTTTGGTCCTTTATTAGTAAAAGCTGTGGACAATTGGTTCCGTAAACATGAGGACTTTGAAGTATCGCAGTATCGTGGATTAACCAGCACCTGTGCTTTGGTTTTAATGGCTTTATTCATAATTTTAATCCAAGTAATAATACCTATAGAATGGTTGATATTAGTATGGCCGACAGCTTCTAAATTCATGAACTCTGACGTCCATGATTACTGGTGGTGTGATCCGATGGATCAATACGATGTAGGTCTCGTCTTATCCTTGATCTACGTTATGTTCCTGGTTATCCTGACGGGAATATTTGCTGGAATGGCATGGGACAGTTGGAGAAATAACTACGAATCCAGATGGATTTTCATTGGTGCTGTTTGTACTGCTGGTTGTATGTTTGTCTGGATGATTGTGACTACTAATGCAGGACCAACAGTGAGAGATGCAGCTGTAACTATTGGTAATTTTGTAAATGCGACAGCGTTACTGCTGTGTATACCACTACGTAAAATGATTATATTATGTACTTATAAAGAAGATAAAGAAGAAAATGGAGGTAAGTTCGCCATGTTTGTTTTGTTGGTTTTTTTTTTACTTTTAAAGAATTACATGACTCTCATTTTGGTCATGGGAATAGTGGTGGCTTAGTGAGTAAGACGCTGGCTCGCTAACTAGAAGATCTCGGGTTTGCACCCGGTTTTTGTCGCGAAGGTTCCATGGGATTTTTCAGGGTGGACAGCCTGAGCAGGTCCTGTGTACACACTGCCGTACAAATAAAAGAACTCATGACAGTTGGAATTTGAGATAAGAGTAGGCTGTAGTGCCACTGTCCAAGTAAAATTTCCCTCATAGCACACTGTATGGCGTATCCCCATCTTCTTTGGTCCAATCGGTGCAGAACAGTAGGACATAAAACTCCATTTCATTTTGGTCACAAATATGACTGGTATTGGGGAAGGCAAGTGTGCTGAATCTCATAGGTATATCAACTGTCCAAGCATTGTCAACCTTATTACTGTAAGTGTAAAGGCTGATATTATGTTACTGGTGCACTTGTAGTTATATATTACAAATTGTACACTTGTTAGCATTAGCAATCTACTGAAATATAATCACAAATGTTGAAAAACATTTGGACCGTCATTGATGGGGCTGAGGGGCTCACAGTATACTCTACACAGAGACCCTTAACCTATGATTGTTTTACATATTCCTCACCTTCATAGTTATTAATCTGTCATTATCTTCATACGAGCATAGTTTCTTCATCTGTTATTAATCTAGCATTATCTTCATAGTTTCTTCATCTGTTATTAATCTATCATTATCTTCATAGTTTCTTCATCTGTTATTTTCTTCATAGTATATTCATCTGTTATTAATATTTCATTATCTTCATAGTTTATTGAATAAACTTTATTCATCTGTTACAATCTGTTATTTTCTTTATAATTTTGTCATCTGTTATCATTATGCTTTATATTTAAATAGGGCCCTTTTAAATATTGTATTTATTTATGTATCTATATCTTTTAGGTGAACTGTACGATAATATTTATGCAAATCCAAGTTTTGATCCAGATTTTCCAGATGCCGGTAATTATCCAAAGCCTGAAAGTAAACAAGGTTCAGATGTTGGATTTTAAATCGTCTTCATTTACTTAAAATAGGTAATGGTATATTATTATAAAATATCATGAACAAATTATTGAAATATGAAGGAAACAGACAATATTTAAAAATACAAGAGAGTCTCTACAGAAATGATATACAAAGATACAAGATAGACTATACAAAAATTATATACAAAGATACAAAATAGGCTATAGAAATATTATACAAAGTTGCAAGATAAACAATAGAGAAAAAATATAAAAAGATACAAGATAGACTGTACAAAAATGATACAAAAACAATACCAATATACATCATAGACTATACCAAAAAAATGCCAATATACAACATAGACTATACAAAAATGATACCAGTATACAACATAGACTGTCCAAAAGCAATACCAAAAGACTATACAAAAACAATACCAATATACAACATAGACTATACAGAAAAGACACAAAAACAATATCAATATATAACTTAGACTATACCAAAACATAGCAATGTACAACATCGACTATACAAAAAAATACCAATCGACATAGACTATGCAAAAGCAAAACCAATATACAACATAGGCTATACAAAAACAATACCAAAATAAGACTGTATAGAAACTATACAAAGAATTTAATGTACAACATAGACTATACAAAAAAATACCAATATACAACATAGACTATACAAAAAAAACAATACTAATGTATAACAAAGACTATACAAAAGCAATACCAATATACAACATAGGCTATACAAAAACAATACCAATACAAGACTATACAGAAAAAATACAAAGAATTCACCATAGGTTTTCCAAAACATTCACATTTCCGGACAGAAAGAATCCAAAACTATTTAAAGATGCATCATGTAAGATTTAGATAAAAGCTGACAGTTATCGCTATCAAAATAGGTAATGAAAAAGAAATTTCTTTTTAAAATTGCAGTCAAATTACAGTTTGGAGAACAGTGTAGTCTTGATTGTTACGATAATAAACAAAGTCTTGATTATCTATTTTTGAATTAAATCATTAACTGCCAATCAAATTTAAATCTGTTGAAAATCAAAATCATCCAAAGTTCTAGAGAGTTGATTATTGGCCTGGCATGTAAATAAATATCTAATTAATGATTTATATAACATTTTGTTTTTGTTATTTTGGTACAGATTTTGATAAACAACTTTTCTATGATTATTTTCTATTACATACTGTTATAGTATATAAAAGAAAAAAAATCTCTTTGTATATTAAAAAAGATATGTTAATCTCCATAAAAGAAATATTCTATGTTAATCTCTTAATCCAGGATTATATGTCATGTCTGGTAAAAAAACACTCTTTCTTAAACTTTTATTTATTAATTTTCATTTCAATTTCAGATTAATCAATTCAAGGTTCAAGAACAGAATTCCATTTCAAGATTATTAAATTTTTAAAAATGAACTAAAACAACCCTTGCTTAACAAAACAATAGGAACAATGTATATAGCTTAAAGCTATTGTTTCAGGGATGATCAGTAGCTTATTAATGAATACTAGCTTAACCAAATTTTTAACAAAAGAATTAAAGAATAAATGTTTTATATAGAATTATTAAACACAGATAATCATGTTTGTCACAAATGTTTTCAAATTTATTTTAAGTTCATCTTTGAACATCTACATAAAGGAAACTAAAATAAACCAAATAAACTGCTGATTTTTTTTATGTAAAAATCAAAACATTTTTTATATATTTTGTTTACCATGTATAATTTTCATCTTAAGAATCTTTTATTTTATAAATTAAGGGAAAAGTATACTTGCATTTCCATAGGTAAGCTTTATAAGAATCTCAAATCTCATAAGCCTGCATATAAACTATATTGTCTCTCTTATGTATATATTGATTTACGATTTCCTAGACTTGGTCTGATTAATCATTAATTAATGATATTAAACTGGATCCTGTTGTTCTATGGTATATTTAATATATACAGAAGCTTATCCTTTAGATGCATTGTGTTACTGGATAGAGCAAAAAACTCATATCTATATCAGAGCAATTACTAATTTATTTTAGCAACCTTTCAAAGAGTATTCAAAAATGTAAAGTTGAAAACTCTTCAAGTGAATACTCTTCAAAATGTCTGCCTAAATAAGTAAGTTATTATTCTTCTATAAGTTTGCTTTATTATTATTGTTAGAACCTTGGATACATACTTATTACATACTTATTACATATGTATAGGATATACTATGAGAGCCAGGTCACAGATACTTTATATAAATATTTACAACTCACTCAAATTTCTAGTTATATTTTAATACATTTATCTTTACTTACCGGTAGTTTTAGGATATCACATTTTTTAGAATCTCTATTTTTATTGATTTTTTTATCTTTGATTTTGAATCAAAGACCCATTATAGGGAGGCTACACAATATGCTCAACTTGTTAATGAAATATTATATTATTGTTTTATGGTAGGTTCTCACTGTCGTGCAATGCGTTGCGATAGGATTGTCCCTATTGAGTCCATGATCCAGTACATGCAGATACGTTCAGATACGTTTCGATAGGATTTTCCCTATTGAGTCCACGATCTGGTACATGCAGATATGTTCAGATACGTTTCGATAGGGTCAACACGATTGCTACGAATGACCTCAATATATGCTAAGACCTGATAGGATCACCACGGTTACACCATGATTTCAATCGCAGCATGACTGGTTATAGTGGGAACCTAGCATTATATAAGTTAAGTATTGACACACTTAATATGTTATTTCAAAGTTACTTCTCATAATCGTTTCAATATTTGAAGTAATCCTCACAGAAAGTTCGGAGCACACAAAAAAAATCTCAAAAAAAAAATTTAAAAAAGGGTTACTGGGAGTATCAAAAGATCAGACACAATTTGGAGGGGTTTTAAAAATACATTGATATTCTAATACCATGTCATAATTGTTATCCACCAATTCGAATGCTGCTCAAAGCTATGAAGTAACTTTTGAAATAGATTAAGCAACAAGTCTATATTATGAAATAATCTTTATATATAAATACTATTGTGATAGATATGTATATATATACATGTATATATTTATAGGTGATGTTCATTACTTACTAATATAAATAATTCTAGTTTTATATATTTGACTTGCAACCCCTGAACAATAGATTTTGTTTTATAATAAATATTTTTATACTGAACTTGTGTGAAATGAATATTTGAAGGAAGGAGATTGGGGTATGGCTTAATACAACTAGGTCCTTTCAAGACTATGGTCTGTACACCATAGACCATAAATTATAATTTGTTTGTATGCTAAATCAGACAAACTTTATATTGTCAAATGTTGTACTTGTATCTATTTCCAATCTAACATATTTTCCCAAGTGTCATATTACAATGATATTCCGACGTGGTTTCCCCTTGTCAGTGGTGCAGAACGGAGGGCCTGACAAGGACAGCTGTCTAGTCCTTCGGATGATACGAAAAACCAAGGTCCAGTGTATACATTGGAATGCACGTAAAAGATCCCTTGGCAGTTGGAATTCGATATAAGAGTAGGCGATAGTGCCGCTGCCTGGGCAAAATTTCCCTCATAGCACACTGTATGGCGTATGCCCGTCTTCATTAGCCTAGTATAGGAGCAGAACAGTAGGACGTTAAACCCCATTTCATTTCATTTTATTTCATATTACAATGCTGCTGGTTGGGGTATATTACCGTGTCTGTCAAGATATGTTGATGAATAAAGGAGACTATATGATTTGTAATTTTGGAATACAAGCAAATAGGTGATTTGTCCTTTGATGGGTTGCAGGATATGGTAAACCTTCGTTTTATTATCATTACTGTTGTGTGCAGGCATAGCTTGGGTATAAAACCAGTGTATGCAGTTATTGGACGAAACTCATGAATGCATAACATCCGATCCAGGATAATGTCCCATGTCCAGACTGTTGATAGCTATATTCTTACTTCTCAAATGGTTCTTTCACCAACATTTCACACAGCAAGTAAAAGTAGTCCACATCTTAATTGAAACTGGTTACCAGCTAAATGAGGAGGTTTTGATTTGACCAAGAATCCCACCAAATTCCATTAAGAGGTAATTCCTCAGTATGGGATGCAAACAATTCTCAGGATCATGAAGGTTGGCTTTGTAAGAACAGGCATAGTTTCCCCATATCAGTCATGCAGGAGGGAGGGCCTGGCAAGAAACAGTATCTAGTTGTTCAGATGGGACAAAAAACTGAAATGCTATTTACACACTGGCTTGCAGGTTCATGTGAATGAACCCTTAACAGTTGGAATTTGAAATAACAGTAAACCCAATTCAACTTCATTTCACTGTCGAGAACATATCAAGAGTCTAAATGACAGCATACTGGGAGGATGTAACTCTGTTTTGCAAGCAACAACAATTCCAATCAAAACTCGTACAAATTAGAAAAATAATCATCAAGAACTGTGTCTTGCGGGAGTTTTTTTTATTAAAGATTATTATGACAACCTCTTTTCACATTTTATGTGGGCACATTAAAAAAAAAAAAAAACGCTTCACATGAAAAATTGTATTTTTTTTTATTTTTAAATTAAAAATGTTTTGTTTTAGATTAGCTGCAATACATATACACCAATATTAAAACATTTTTATAATTTCTCCAAATTAATTTATCCTGCATTGATAGGAAAAAAAACAACTTTTAACATGATATATATATATACAATTAACAAATAGCCCTACATTATACACAATAAGCTGAATGTACATTAAAATTACAGCCTGTTCAAATTTACATGTGCCTATCCAACAGTTAAAATATCTGTTAACTAAAAACTTGATACCGTAAGGAACCAGGAAATAAAAAGGTAAAATATAACCAAGAGACTAAGAATTTTTTGTTGTGGTTCTACTTTAATCCACTTCAACTATAGTCAAATATTAAAAGTCGAAATTAGAAGCTGATTGAAAATAAACCTAAAAATTCTAAAACATTATAATTTAAATTTGAGAAATTCAGAACTGCTAAATCCCAGCATTACCAAAAGAATGAACACCACAAACTTATTGGCTTAACACATTTTAGCTATTTCGAGATAAACATACTCTTGTTGTTTTCTATGATCCCATATTCAATGCCTGTGAGGAGAATTTTGCCATGACAGTAACTGTCGAGATTGTATGAAATATATAAGAATCAGTACACAGGCTTATAATTTCTCTTAAAAAAACATAATGAATACCAAAATAACTAAAATATTCCAGGCACAGTATCCCATTCCAGTCATCCGAAAATTCACTAAGAAAATGGATCACTTTCAAAATATTAAAACAATTGTCAATAAACTTTGGCTTAATATCAACATATGAAATTGTAAAGCTTTTGAAAACTTTATCTAAAAGGGATAAAACACTTCAGTATAATAAAAATACTCGATATAAATCGACACACTGTAAAATAAGAGATTACATCATCAAGTTATTGCGAATTGTACACATGTAGATGGTAGATGAAGAAAATGGATTATGAATTTAAAATTGAATGCAACCTGTGGCCATTCGCATTATTATCATGCATATAATAATATCATTGTTTACAGTGTATAAGATAATATTAGAAATTAAAATAATTGATGGATACATTGGTTGTTTTTTTTTTTACAATAATTTTTGTCTTATTCTATTAGTAAAATAACTGTTTTAAAATTTTACAAACTGTTAAAAATTTATATGACTGGCTTTAATTTGGGCTATATCTTCCTCTATAATTAATATAATTTATTATTCAGCACATAATAAATTAATTCCAAGACATGGTTAATAAAACAGCATTTAAATAGATAGATCATAGAGATAAGTATGCTGTTTGGAGGTAGTACCTATAGCCCTTTTATATAACAATTCTTTAAATATTCATTACATTCAAATGATATAACATAGGTTGCCAGGCAATGAAATATACAATCACAAGCAACTAAGTTATCTGAGCAGTTATGAGCTAAGCAACTCATAACATTTTTTAAAAAGACTGTATCAAAATCAAAGGTTCTTGTAAGAAAGGGGAATAACTCTGGAAGTTATCGAAAATTGTTGAAAAACAATAAGGTTCTTCCTTTCAATTGAATAGGCAATCGATGTTAATTTCATAAGGATAGGTCAATAATTACAGTTTATAATGTTCTAAGATTTCATACCATAGACCATATCACTGGAGGTGATTACTATTCAATAGGCTTCTTTGTTTTAATCATTTTGAGGATCCAAATCAATTTCTAAAAGAGATATAGATTAGTGTAGCCCCAGCGTACTAACAAAAAATTTGAACAACAAACCAACGGACATAAGACTTAACAATAGAGGGGCATAACTAAAGGAGTTATCATAGAAAAATCAATATGCATCTTCCTATGAACGAGTTAAGCTACTTGCACAAATTTCAATAAGACATAGTTCATGCTTGTGAGATTTTATATAAATTTATTATATATTTGATGCTGATTTATCCAGATGTTAAACTTAATGATTTTGATTAAATCTGTTGGTTAGAGTATTGACATCATAAGTGTTATTTTGTTATTCAAACAATAAACAAATAAATAATCTCAAGTTCATATTTATTATAAATAATTTTTGTAATGAATCTGTATGAAAAACTGAGAGTACTAATGTTATTAATATTATTTGTAAATGTGATTCTCTTAAATTAATAAAATTATACAATTTGATCACGTTTTATTTTATAGAATATTTTCTATTTACTCAGTGAGATGATGAAAATTAAACTATATTTAATATATCTTTTAAATGAGTAAATCCTAAACAGTTATTTCTATTGTGGGTATATCCCTAGACATCTTCACCATATCAATAATTAATTTTACTTTATATTAATCATGTATTTCTTGACAGATTTCCATAAGGCCATATCAAAAAAAATATTCTGGTTCTCAGATAATTCTGTGTCACTTAAAATGGGCTGCATGACCCATTTTTATTTTAAAAACTAAAAACAATTCCATTACATGTAATTACCGGATAGAAAATGTTTATCCCAGTTTACAGGAAGTAGCTCTATAAAAAAAAACTTTGAATAAATCCAGAAATATGGCATAAGGCTCATTAATTAAGAACACAGCCTTGATAAATGTTAACTGACAATCATAAATGATACTGGATAATCATACATTCTTATAAACAACATGATAAGATAGTGCCTTGATATGTGATGTTTATGAGAAGTCATTTAGACTGGTAGTGATCATTTGACAAAATAAAAACACACAAAAAAAGGATTGTCCGAGAACCAGAATATTTTGTTTGTATGGCCTAAACTTCCTTCAAATATTCCCAACCATCAGACTAGATTATAGATATAGTTAAATTAAAGGAACATCATTAAAAGTGAGGTGAGGCTATTCCTAACTATTTTATTTATTTAAAAAACATAAAATCGTAGTGTATAATAAATGAAATCTAAAGTCAAATGTTAATTAATAACCAATATGAGACACTCTTAGATGTGAGCATTTTACAAGGGTATTAAAGTAGAAAAAAATTGCATACAATAAAGCATCACATGTATAAATTAATAAATTTTTGGATAAAAGCAATTTACAACAGTTAAAAATCAAATATCTAATTTATTAATATTTTATCTCTTACTTACAAAACACATCTGTCCATCAATTATTTTTCGTAACAAAAATAAACATTTTTTTATTTAAATAATAAACAAAGTAACACAATTAGTTTTTGTTGTTTTTCAAATCAATAAACAACGTCCTAAAACAAGGGTCCTGATTTCACCACCCAAACATTAGTTTACTATATTTTATTTGAAAATATTCTAATTTTCAGTATATACAAAATACTTTAAAACAAGTATTGTATCATTTTCAAGTACTGTATCATTTTCAAGTACTGTATCATGTCCAAACAAGTATTATATCATGTTCAAACAAGTACTGTATCATGATCAAAACTGTATCATGTTCAAACAAGTACTGTATCATGCTTTGAACACCATATTGATAAAATGGCCAATCATGGCAGAATTTCTTATAATACATGCAGATGTAAGTCGCCTGGCAAAAATGGCAACTGCACAAGGGAGGGTTGTGTACTATGCAGAGCAATGGACAGATACGTTTAGGTCTATTTTTACTTAATGTTTACGGCTACAGAAATACTGACTGACGGAAAAATGGGAACTCTGAACAATTTTTTCTTATTATGACAATTAACATCCAATGGAATCATAATCAAATCACTCAACATTTACAGAATGATTTCAATTTCAAGTCATACAATAAGCTATTTTCACGCATTCTTCAATTTGTGTGCATTGTAAATTTGCTTCAGTTTTCTCACGGCCATTCATTTATCATTCACTTTACAAATTTTATTTTTATATAATAAACTAATCAGCTAGTCAAACAAATGAGTAATGATTCTCCACAGCACGTCCATGTAATAATTGTTGTTGTGAGCCGCCGTGAGCCTGTTCACGAACCACATTTTCTATCGAAGATGTCCTTGACCGCACCGAACCACTTATCACAACGATATCACGACTATTATCAGAATGTCCACTGTGAGCCGAAAGTGAGGTGGAAAGACCAGCTTGCGTATTATTATTAGACCGTGGCGAACCTCTAGGTAACGTTGTTGGGGTACGAGGTCGCTCCATCGCCACTATATAGTCTGTGAGCGTAACATCTGAAGTACCTCCCGACTCCAAAGGGATAGGATGCGTGCGGAAATGCTCCAACATATCGAAGATAGTCTGGAACCAAAGATGCTGAACACGACACTGACCATCATTATTAATAGTCATCCGTAAGTGCTGTAAGAAATAAAAGAAATTGTTAAAATATTTTAATACCCTGAAACTTCCCAAAAGTTGTAGCAGATGTAATTCATGTAGACATTTGATTTTTAAGTTTTTATTTCTCGAATGAAGTACGAACACAGCCCTATTAGTTTACATACAGATATCAATAAAGTGTTCAGGGGCCTGTTTCATGAAATTTTAACTAAGATAAAATCCAAATTTTAGTAATTTGATTGGATAATATTAGATTGATTTTAGTGCTTAGCCAATCAAAATTGAAGTATCTACTAAAATTGGGATTTTATCTTTAGTTAAGATTTCGAGAAACAGGGCCCTGAACCTGACAAAACTTAAATGTAAGTTTCAAAATAACTCATAAGAAGTGAACACTACCAACAAGCTGGTATAAATAGAATAAAGTTACTGAAATTGTTTACAAATTGGTAAGGTCTATAAAATATGTCATCCATGCATTTTTGATCAAAATAATCCTGAAACTGAATAATATATAAATTGTTCGGAAGCTTACTAACCTTAGCACGACCTTGAAAGTTGAATGTTAGGACATATTCTCCTGTTCTAGTTTCACTATTTCTAACTAAAAACACGCCATGACCATTCTGTCCTTGTTGTAGAACTAGATGAGCTGCTTCAGCTCGTGATAATGTACCATGAAACCAGGGATATTCTCGTAATAACTGATCTATATGTCCATCACCTAATGTCTCTCTATGATCTAAAAAAAAATAAAACAAATAATTGTGTATGTATTATAATATAACACTAGGTCTAAATAGTCATTTTAAACCTAACACTGACTAGGTCTAAATAGTCATGTTATACCTAACACTGACTAGGTCTAAATAGGCATGTTATACCTAACACCAACTAGGTCTAAATAGGCATGTTATACCTAACACTAAGTAGGTCTAAACAAAATAAACGTAACACTGACTTCAGACATTTTGACACTAAACTCATCACAATTTTTTTCTATGCTAGGGGGAGAACTTTGCCCAGACTTCATTGAATTTCAATAGCCAAGGGTTCATCTACATGCACTCCAATTCATACAAACTGTCCTTGTATGTACAGCAGACGCTACCCTTGACAGTGAAAACCAAGTAGAGCGATAAACAATTTAATACTATGTTTTAATGGCTACAAACTCTTCATATCTTTATTAGAACAAGTATTTATGTGTATTTAGTCTAACCTGACTCCGATCGAGTTGATTCATTATGTAAATCTGTTGTACTTGGAGCACAACTGGACTGGGGGGTATGTTGGGGGGTACTCCAGGGTCGCTGTGATGGTCGTGGAGGTATACTAGGTAAAGCTGTAGCACCATTACCTAGACTACCCTGGGAAGAACTTCTCTGGGGTTGATCAACTTGGGTTGTCTCTGAATAAAATGAAATATGTAAATAGCTTTAAATACGTAATGTATTTACATCTGATGCTGAAGTACTTAGGCCATACAAAAAAATATTCTGGTTCTCAGACAATCTGTCAAAAAATAAATCTGAAGTGGAAGGGAGGTTTTTATTTTCTTATTTTTAATTTATCAAAGGATCACTATTCGACTAAATAATGCGACATTTCAAGACTCTACATCTCATTATGTTGTTTATAGGAATGTATGATTATCCAGTAATCAAAGTGATCGAGGGCTTCTTCGTCTCATGGCCATAGACACCGTGTATAAATTTAAAGTCAATCGGATAATAACTTTATTCTCTAGAGTGTCCACAAGCAATTGCAGTTGACGGATGGATGGATGGATGGGGACAATGCGAACATGGATTACTTCACTTAGACCATATTAAGAAAACATCCCCATCCCCACTTACCTCCTAAAAATTACTAACAACAACAAACAGATGACGATAGAAAATATTATTAATAATATCATCATCTATTTTGTTTACTCAGCATCTTTGGTCAAGTTCAATAAGTGCAATGATAAAATTACAAGCCCTTGCGGCTACTAGTTTTTCATCTACAAAAATACTCTTGATGCCAGAGGGGCAGATTAGCTGCAAGGCCTATTAGTAACAGTTTTCATCATGTAAAAACTAACCTTTTCTTTCTATAGATCCTGATGGAGCTGTTGGTAACCTTGGTCGTCTAAAAAAAGAATTTGTCTACATTATTTATGATAAAAGGATAGTTAGGGGTAAACAGATCTACGAATTGACCAACTTTCACCAGTATCAACATCTGGGTAATAAATTGTATTTGTGATTATGCTTGTACTCAAAGCCAGATAATCTTTATTTATTACAATTTGTATATATTTTCACTTCCCATCCAGCATAATGACATACACAGGACAAAATTCTAATATCTAAGGAAAACTGTTTATCATATAGCGATGTTTTGACTAAGATAGTGATGTTTTGATTAAGATACAATGTAGCAATGTTTTGACTAAGATAAAGACCAGAGGATCCTAACTGAAGTGTTGCTCAGTATTTGCATACCATAGAATAATGTCATCTTTATTATTGCCAGTTTAATTACTAATTGCAATTGAAACTCATTAAAGAGAGACTAACACATGGTTCAATTTTATTTCAATAATTTGCTTGCGCATAGGGGTCTTTAGCAGTGGGAGGAAACTGGAGGAAAACCCACGAGGTTGGACAGGCGACCCTACTCCTTGTCACATACAACCAGGGATTCGAAACCATGCCAGTTGACTCAATCACAGACATTATGATACAGCAGCACGCACATGCTAACCATTCAGGCATCCTCCCCAACTCATTAAAAGTAACTTTTTGTAATTTCATTCTCGGGTCACATATGCACAATTTTTGTTTCTCTTTCTATGATGTAACATTTGCTGTGGCTGTAATTTCTGAGAGAAACTTTATGATGCTGGTTGTGAAATAAATATAAATAGCATTATTGATTTACATTTTTCGAGCATGAATGCAGATGCTATTTGTAATCCATAGGTACGGAGAGAACAGAATTCTCCTAACTTCAATCTGATTATAAATCTGTTTTACAGAGAACAGAACTTGGATCAAGTTTATATTGAAATAACTGGAGTTTATTTACTTAATAATGGCATAATATAATTTGGCAAATATTCAACAATGTATATCATGGGATAATTATCAAACTTATACCCATACTTAGCCTCATTTCCTTTGTCTAAAAGTGTTGATTGTCAGCTAAATCACCCTTGGAGGTCCTCATAGGAAAAAGAATAATGGTGTATTAGCCGACAAATCATGTAACTATTACTTACATAGCTGTAATAGAACCATCATTATTAGCAGAAGTATGTATTATACATTGATGTATAGCCTCCAACCAATTTCTTCTATCTTGTACTGAACTAGCTTCTATAATATGTTCTATTGTACCTTCACCCTGGTAAATATACAAAATTATACACAATATATATAACAGTTTATCCCTTTCATCCTATAATCAAAGATGGAAACTTTTATTTTGAGCACACATATCTACCAATGACTAATGGCCCAGTATAATATTTCTACAATATTTGGACTAAAGCCGTGGACACACTAGCCGAATGATTCGGCCGAATCAATCAGCGTCGAAATTCGCCTAGTGTGTCCACTGTCATTCGGCCGAATTTCTATTCAGCCGAATGATTCGCCCGAATCAAACAGGTTTGATATATTCGCCTGGTGTGTCCACTTCGTCGAAGCATTCGGCCGAATATAGAATTCATTAGCCAATCACCATTCATATCGAGAAGTCACGTGATAGATTGAAGACATAGACGCCGCCATGTTTAATCATGTGACATGAAAGGTGATGCAATCGGCAGGTTGAATCGGGCGAAGCATTCGGTTAGTGTGTCCATCCATTCGGCTGAATAAAATTTGGCGCCAATTGGTTCGGCCGAACGATTCAGCTAATGTGTTCACTGCTTAAGCATATTCAAAATCAAATAATGGACTAGATTGCTCACTTTACCAAATAATGAACTAGATTGTATGTTTAGCCTAATAAAGGGCTAGTTTGCATATTTAGCCTAATAAATGGCTAGATTGCACATTTAGCCTAATAAACAGCTAGATTGCATAATAAAGGACTATATTGTATGTTTTATCCTAATAAAGGACTAGATTGCACATTTAGCCTAATAAAGGACTAGATTGCACGTATAGCCTAATGGTTAGACTGCACGTTTAGCCTAATAAAGGACTAGATTGCACGTTTAGCCAGATAAAGGACTAAATTGCACATTTAGCCTAATAAAGGACGTTTGCACGTTTGGCCAAATAAAGGACTAGATTTCCTGGATTTGCCTGTGTTTCAAGTTTTAAAAACAGTCTTACTCTCTAAGAAATTTTGCTCCAAGAGAAATGCCCTCTGATAGAAAATCGGCCTGTTGATGTAAGATTTTAGTTGGCAACAAGGAATAATAAGAAACCATAGACAATACATGATATCACATGGAACAAAAGTTCTATTTCTTATATATAATATAGTCCTATACAGATTAGATTTTGTTTGCATTTGCTTTGAAGGTCGGGTGTTTGATCCCTGCATTGGTCGAGAAAGTTCATTCAGATTTTCCGGTGTGGTTCCCCCTTGTCAGTGATGCAGGACGGAGAACCAACAAGGACAGCTGTCTTGTCATTCGGATGGAACAAAAAAAAAACGAGGTACCGTGTACACATTGGCATGCACGTAAAAGATCCCTTGACAGTTGGAATTTGATATAAGAGTAGGCCGTAGTGCCACTGTTCCGGCAAAATTTCCCACATAGCACACTGTACGGTGTATGCCCGTCTTCATTAGCCCAGTTCGGAGCAGAACAGTTGAACGTTAAACCCCATTTCATTTCATTTCATTTCATTTGATTAACCTGAAAATCTATGTTTTTTTACCGGATATGTGAGTTGCATCATATTGTAGTTTTCATTCTCTAATATTAAGAAGGGGGGGGGGGGGTTGGGGGGAGGGGGGACAAGTTTGTCCTGACTGTGGTATTTTCATCTAGTAATCTGTGAATTGCAACTTATAAGTAAGAGATCTATGGGCCAAGTGTGTACACAGGACCTCAGTTTTACCCAAATCCAAACAATTCGACACAACTAAATGTCTGTCTCTCCCTCTATCACAGATAGGTGGAAACCAGACTAGAACAATTTGCTGGTTGTAGTATTTATTGGTATTATGCGAACAGGTAACAGCTACAAAACCTCTGTATAAGCAGGAAGAACATATATGGACTACCACCTACCTTCAAAACAAAACTATTTTCATGATCTGGCATTTCTAAAGGAGTAGTTTCCCTGGCTTCATTTATAAGGAAACAAAATATTCCAGTTTTAGGTTTCAGGGACTGAAATAATATAAAACAGACATGTATATTAAAGGATAAATAGGATCAACTATATTTAATATGATTTAATCATTCCTTATCTGCAATGAAAATCTTTTTAAAGCCAGATGGTTTACGATAGGATTGTCCTTAGTGAGTCCATGATTTGGTACGTGTCGAAATGTTTCGATACAATCAACATGATTGCTACGACTGACTTCAATATATGAAAAGACCTGATAGGATCACCACAATTACTCCACGATTAAACCCACGATTCAACCTAGCATAATGTCTGACTATAAAACCCAGTCAATAGCCCAGTCGGTGCAGAAAAGTAAGACATAACTCATTTCATTTTTTACTATAAAAATACAAGCCACTTATTAGTTGCCGCAGGGTCACTATTTGAATGTCGTGCAATTCTTTATTTCGATAACATTGCCAATAATTCCAGACAGACAGGGATGAAGATAATATAAAAGTAGACCTTCTAAAGATCTTGATTTGAAGGATTGGCCATTCTCCAATTAAAAGTTTGGACCAATGAACCATAGAAGTGATTTAGAGATAACCAGTATTAAAGGGACTATCCCGATTTGAACAGAGTCTCAAAAATAAAAGTCTGAGTACGTATGACATTTAAGTGCCAAAATATGGAGGAATGGTGTATTTATCTTGTCTCAAAATTTAAACGCAAAATATTGAGTTGTTTGGGCGTGAACTTCAAAAATGCTTATCCGGACACGTAACATGTTTAAGATTTTGGGTGAATTTTTTCGTTGGGTGACCTGATAATCGATTCCTGTTTCTATTGACGTCCATATAGTGAATGACTCACGTGATGTACTTGATAATGAAAGGTACATTTCACCTACACGTTATTTTTACTAAAAAAAATCTGATTTTATCCAGACACCGATTAATACAGCTTGGGCACCGGTATTCATTTCCAGATGAAGACTGACGTGTTTATGTTGTTTGCAAATGTATCACATATTGAGTTAGTTCCTCAGCCCTTTGGTTGAGGATTTTAAGGGATTTTAACACAAAATTAATTAGTTTTATTCTCCAAAATAATATCGGGACTGGCCATTTAAATTCTACTGAAAAATTGTATCAAAGATTAAATCAATATAAAATTCTACATACTAATTCATTTAGTGAAGTATGTAAATGTCAAGTGTATGCTTATTATTTCAAGTAATACATACTTAAAATATAAGTGGTTTGTAAATTGAAATAAGAAATGAAATAAATGTCCTATTCTTTTATTATGCATATTTAACTTCTGTACAAATTTAACTTCTGTGCTCTTTTAAACCAAATAATCAGGGGTGTCTTAACACATGGGCATGATGGGCAGTTACCTGGGAGCCCCATGAAAATAGGGCCCCCATGCTAATCTAAGTCACGTAACTTGCTGTACAGCATATTTTTTAAAGTTTAAACACTGATTTTGTTGGAAACCCCATTACAATAAATAATCTTATCTTTAATTTTAACGACCATATAAATTTTTATTCCTGTGAACTGTTGGGGCCCCAGTGTGTATTCTCGGTCACCCAGAACCTCCTAGTCTTTAATGTACAGAGGGTATGGGTCAGTTGTCAACATATGCTAAAAGTTTCCATTGCCCAAACCGGGAGTTTGTTTTTTTAATGTGTGGTTATTTATCCAGTAAATTTTGCAAAGTCAAGTAAGAGTTGCACCCCTTCCCGAAATAAATCCCATAATTCATGCATTAATATAAACAAACATGAATTGTGATGATGAATTAGGATTAACAAGCCAACGGTGAGGCTGATGTCCCCCGCCGAAATCCCCAAATAAATAGATGACACATATTAATTTATCGCAAATTTATTTTTTTCAACAGTATCAAGCAATCAAACTGATTATCAACTATACACTAAGTTTCATCACTCTCTATCAGATAGAATCAAAGTTATCTTGTCCCAAAGCATCGACCAATGAAATTGCTTAGCTCTGCTTAGCTTTAGCTTGAAATGTTAATCATTGAATGTTAATCAAAACATTCACCTAATGAACATCTACATCAAGTTTGAACATTTTTCTTAAATTAATTTTATGGGTGTCGACATCTTGTTTTAGGCCTAGTTACCTCCCTTAGGTTTTGCCCATGATAATGTAAACAACCAGATGATCTAGCCAATGACCTAGTTATTCTCAAAAGTCGACAACCCATCCAGACTAATATTCATAAAATATTTGTCTGGATGATAGAGACTACCCAGTGTGCTGCTTTGCACGGGGTATATAAAGACAAACCTGAAAACAACATATACCGGATATCATAAAAAATATATGCTTTATATAATCATGACATTGCATTAGTTTGAGGACAACCTGTTGGTCTTACTCATATCATGCTTATAAACATATGATAACATTCTTGAGTTTGGTGACCTTAAATGAGCACAACATAACCTTGCTATTGAGACTTTGAACAAATATGAACTGTTGTTATATATGTTGGGGGATATGTTCATATTATTATTAAGGTACAAAGAATATACATGTAAGGTACACAACTGGATTATACACAATGAATAACAAATTTTATTATTAAGATTCAGTTACCAAATATGTAGTTTTACATGAAGGACAAGGCCTGACATTTTAAGTATAATATGTTAAATATCACAGTTTATAGTTAAAAATAGTCTACAGCTTACTGCTATCAATGGGGCTGGCATAGTGTTTAAACTCTATCAAGGCTACACAGGTTTGTTTGATGTCCATTGAGTTAAGAAGCATGATGACCATAAGCTCAGACTGACCAGTGTGAAATGAAGGTCAGCACTGTACATGTTTACCAATAATCTCATGTTTATGTTGGTGACTGGACAGTCAGGTTGATGACCGGGCCTAGAGTCAGTATATGATCAATGATGTTAATTTAAGTCAATTACTATCCACTATAACCGAATACTGTACATTCTTTAAATAGCTTCCACTGTAAGGAGGTACACGATCAAGAAATAAAGTCAGTCATTATACGTTCAGGTACCCCCTCCCCCTCCCCCCCCCCCCCCAAAAAAAAGAAAGTGGATTTGCGTAGTCTGCTTCAGATACTGTCAGGGTCAGATTAAGAGGGGAGGGGGTGTTGCCAGGGCTGCAGCCCCAATAATGAAATGACCCCCAAAATTAGTTCTAAATTTTTTTTTATCTAAAGCATATATAATTCATAATTTTATTTATTATGATCTATATGTTTGTGACAAATAACTATCTATCTACTGTACAAATTGCTTTTGTGTGAGAGTGATGGACAATGACCAGAATATTCCCCCTCTTTCACTGTTGATGCAGGTGTCTCAGTGACATTTTCAGCCAGGGGGTGAATACAAGCTTAAACCGGCCCTGGATACTAATATACAGCATGTGACCCAATATACCAATAAAACTCAAACACCCATTCTCAGTTATAATATAATATTATTAAGAATAAACTGTATTTCTATCTTGGATAATATCTTTACGAACGTTACTTGTTTATATGTAGAGTCTTTTACAGCTGTACCAGTGAAATATTATCAATCAAGATTGTGTAGACCGAGAAAACACATCAACAGCCCTTTAACCATCAGTAATTAACATCATAAATTTTCACTTTTCTCTTTAAATAACACTTCAACTTGTTGTTTTCATAAAATATTTGTCATGTTATTTATGCGTTCTCTGCCCCAAAAACACCACAGATTAGCTTGATTCTAACGTGAAAAACACGGTATATCCTAATCTATTGACTTGTTTCTTACCAATTAAGGAATTTATTACCATTTTCTCAATGACTGTTCTAAGACGAGTAATATCTGATTGGCAGATGGGGAAATTACGTGTTCTGGTATAAGCTGATATTCATTGTCTAATTAGTGAGAATGACATAGGACCTTGATGTTCGGACGTCAATACTTAAGTACATGTGATATATATGTATCTGATAATAACATTTTTAACAAACAATACAGATATATAAACTACACTTAATGCTCTTCTTCAAAACATGTTTTTCAATATCAATACAAATGATAAATATACTTAACAAATACATCAGTACACCCACATCAACAATTTGTTTTTATACAGCCGCATTGCATTGTGGTCATATTGTCGTCACCTGTCTGTCTGTTCACTAAGGATAAAGTTATCATTCCATTCATTTTAAATTTATAGACAGTGTTTAGCTTTGTGAGATGAAGAAGCCTATTGGTTTCAAGCTACCGGATGGTTCTGATTGTAAGTAGATTAGAACATGGCGGCCATTTAAGAGTTTAATGATAAAATACCGTTGCTATGATAATAAACAATATGCGCTAAATTTTGACAAGAAAAATAACATGGGCTAACAAATGACATATCCGGCTGGCTCATGTGAATTGAGAGAGAGAAATGGGGTTAAACATCCACTGAATACAATCTAATAGTAAGTTCAGGAGGACCGCACTACGTGCAAAACAGAAATCTACAAGTACAAGATAAACCTGCGGACAAGACAGAAAAAGACATTGCACCAAATAAACAAATTATCAAATCAAGTCATTTCGGAACTAACATACGGTACAATTTTATTTCATCAAGCCAACAGTGAGGCGGATGTCCTCCACTGAATTCACAAAACAAATAGATGACACATATTAATTAATTGCACATTTATCTTTTTCAAAAGTATCGAGCAATCAAATTGAGTATCTCTACTTAGTCTAACTAAGCATAAAATGTTCACTATCACTGGTAGTTAAACTGTAAACTAAATTTCATCACTCTCCATCAGTTAGAATCAAAGTTATCTTGTCCCAAAGCATCGACCAATGAAATTGCTTAGCTCTGCTTAGCTTTAGCAGGAAATGTTAATCATTGAACTCAGTCAAGCCATTCACCTAATGAACATCTACATCAAGTTTAAACATTTCATCGCTCTCACCCAATTAGAACCAAAGTTATCTCTGCTTAGCCTTAGTGGAAAATCTGCATGATCAAACTCTTGTCAAGGCATT